AACGGATTACAAATATTTAAAATATAAATAGCAAGGGCAATATTTTGTACTTTTATACGCGAGTAGTTGCATGCTAGTCATTTTGACTTATTGACCTCTCTTTCTATTACATACTAGCTTTCCGCCCGCGGCTTCGCTCGCGTGGAATTTTGTCTGTTACAGAAAAACAATATCGCGCGCGTATTTGCTCACCGTTTAGACCTACCCTGGACTACGACAAAAATTTTAAAACCAAAATCAGCTCAATCAGCCCAGCCGTTCTCGAGTTTTAATCAGACTAACGAACATCAATTCATTTTTATTTATATAGATAGATTAATTCATATCTGCGTGTCTACTTTAAACATTGAATCATCTTACGACACGTGTCATTGTTTTGATAAAGGATTTTTTGGTGTTTCTTATTCTGCCATAGAAAAGATATTTGTTTTGGGGCTGATATTTCACCAATTGTAGGTATGGAAAACTTTTTTTTGTAAATACATACTTATTATACATAGAAAACACCCAGTCCAATACAAACAAATATGTTCATGCACACAAATGTTTGTACTGTGCGGGAATCGAACCCGCTACCACTTCGAACCACTACACCAAACGGCCGACAATACAAACCTAGCATTTAAAGTCTCGCATAATATTGTATTTAATGCGCGTTGAACTTTCTTCTCTCACTCTCTATCATATTAATTAAATTGTTATTTAATTTGAAATCTACCTAATCAATTTAATTTCAAAAACCACTTACAATAGTTTTAAAAATCTAGATTTATTATAGATTCAGTAAAATAATAATATTTTATGTAATAATATCAAATAAATGTAATTTTAAATATAGTTCCATATTTTACTGAATTTTACTAAATCAATATCAACTAAACACACTCTAGTCAAGTGTAAGTGGTGTAGTAGAAACTAATCGAGTATAGTTTGGAGATTACTTTTTTTACTAAGCTCCTCCAAACTATACACGATCAGTACGCAAAATTCGTGTATAGTTTGGAGTCACAGATTTACAAACAGGCACTCCGAAATATACACGAGCAGTTTCCTATGGGTGCGTTCTGGCCATGTATAGAACGGAAAGACGCAGCGAGCACACGTAACGTAAACTCATGGTAAGCACACTGGCCTCTTCAACCCTGGTCAGTGTGGGGAGTGCAGGCTAAATCCTCCATTTGCCAATGGTAAATTAAAAGGGTCGTGCTCCTGCTCTAGAGTCTATGGCCTGATGATGATTTACAACTATTTCAATTGATCTATGTGTCAAAACAGCTATGATTGTGATCAAAAACAATCGCCTCTCGATTAGATTACTTCAAGAGTTGGTTTATCTACAGCGTCGCTAGACGACTCCTTTATCATGCGTCATTGCATAATGGCATTGTAGATGATACTTTTAGAATTTTATGAAGTAGGTTATTAATTTAAAACAGACATCGTTCATATATCGTTCCATTCTTTCATTTAATCATTTGTGGCACAAATACAATATTTGTTATTTTGGCAGAATTTGAAACAAGTGATAAAAATAATGATTCAAAAATAAACCGCTATGGTATATTTTCGCCTCTTAAATTTGGCTAAAATCCATAATTTTATTTAGGTACCTATTACTTGCTTTGATGGTCGTCGTTCTTTCGTTTCACGGAATGAAGATCAATAACAAAACATAAAGATGTTTGCAGATTTATGAGCCTTTTTCTATGGTTAATTTTTCCCATGTATTTTAATACAGCGAAAAACGAAATCAGCTAACATTGGCAGAGCCGTCTTCAAAATAATACTCCGTCATTTAGATTTAGATTTTTATGCAGCCAAATGAAAAAATGCTATTTAATTCTGGCAGAATAGAACAAGATCTGATGATCTCCCACTTTTCAAGTGGATGTCGAGAAATACTTCAACCCGTCTGGCCAACGTGAGGATTCGAGTGTAGGCTGAATCCTCCCTTTTGCTTCTGCTAAATTGGAGCTCTTCCTTCATTAGAGACTAACTGACCTGGAAGATAAGATAAAATGGATAATAACTTACGATGTATTCCTAGCGCTAATGTACTGTTCTGTAGAGTCGGCGTAGACCCGCCAGGTGGCGCGGCGTGCTGTGCTCGTGATCCACGACTCCTCGGTCCCTTCTGCGAGGGACTTCTGCAGCTCGAAGGGGCACTGCAAAAAATAATGCTAGTAAGGAATATGGTCTCTATCTTAAGGTACTTAGTACTAGTTTTGTGTACCAGAGCTTGTAAATAGCCAATAGAAAACTGATAAACCTAAAATTTATCCATCGAAGTAAATTAAGTAATGCTAAGTAATATCTCAATGAATTTATCATACTAAACTTTGCCCCACGTGGGATTAGAACTTTCAAATGGGTGCCATCAAAGTCCGATACGTTAGCTACCAGGCTAGGTAATGAAATTGTAAGTTTATTGTCTGCGTGTCAAAATCAAAATCAAAAATATTTATTCAATTTAGACCACAAGTGGCACTTATGAACGCTTTAACGGTTTTATACTAATCACTGTTAAACTTGACAAAGATAAAGTTCATTCAATGATGTGACAACTACACGAGTACACGTAGTCGCGTCTAATTGTCCCTGTTAAAATTTACTAACTTTTTCTTTTTATGACCTAAAATAATATACCAAGTACTAGGATGAACTCACTCGTACATAGGTAGGTACTCGTATATCATGGATATTAGGATGTGCAGTGACTAGGTAGAGATCACAAGATTGTGTGACACTCCGACAATATCGAGTCATATTGCCATGGGCAAGAAACGGAAAATGGTTTTAATATCGGAATGGAGATCTTTAAGGACGGAAGAGATGAATGGAAACGACTTCAGATTAAAATATAAATTCATATCCCGAAAACAGATGATAACGTTATTGTACCACAGAATAATAATAAGTACTATGTAGTTATACATAATATATGTATGGACTCTACATAGTAAAGATCCCTCTTGGACGAATTCGTCCAAGAGATCCCTAGATGTCGTTCTAAAAACAATATAAAAACTAAATAACTGTTCATTTAATTAACTACAATTTATTTAGTTTTGACAAAAAAAGTCAGCCAAATGTGTTAACTAGCACCGCTATTAACAAGCACGCTAATTTTATTGTGCTCATGTTTTATAAATAATATAATCAATACGAAAGATTAATTTTGTTTCGCGTTTTTATTTGTAAAGTTATTTTTATTTACAAACTTCCTTCAATGTAAACTATCATATTCTATTCATTATATTTTATTTATATTTTTATGTAGTATCCGCTTTGTTGACGCTTATATTTTTTATAAAAGTGTGCACTACATACTAACATGATCATAATATGTGAATATGAATCATATTAGGAATATTCAGGACAACATTACTATGTACATAAAGTTGTATAATAAGTTTATTGTTAGTAATTCATCTAGACATTTTTTCGACCCTCTAATTTACCGGAGGCAAATGGAAGATTTCCCACACTTTCCATACTTGTCAGACGGGTTATGTGGTTGCGGAGGCATCTCATAATTTTTGACATCCAGAGGAAAAGTGGCTGGTCTAATTCGGAGCATTGCCTTTGCTAAATTAGAGGGTCATTCTCCTGCAGTGGAGACTAAATGGCCTGGATTTTTTTTCATGTAAGTATACAGACGGTCATAGCATGACACGGTATAGTGCGCAGTCCTATGTAAAATTTAAGAAATCGTTTCTCGCTTGAGCGGCCCTGCGACGTGTGGTATCGATACGGTAGCGCGGCCGATTATCTCGGACATAGCAATTAGATCGCACCGCTAACTATAATGATCGCCGCACTCGATGCTACAACTGCTTGACACACATAATGAAATATTGCAGTATAACACCATAGAAAATCATAAATTAAACCAACATTTAATACTTTAATCACCGATGCGCAATTTCTTTCCGGATCGTATAATATTTTTAAAGTCAAAAAATTCCAAAGGTTGTATAATTAATAAATTAATTATTAACCTTGCTTCGCTACTTTTTTAAATAAACTTTTGACTTGATCAAATCATCTTACTATTGTTTAATAACTTTAAAAAATATATTTCCTAATCGCACCCACGGCCTTTCGCTTGCCGGCAAATGCTCTACCACCACTGAGAGCAATATCGTGGGTTCGATTTCCACCTTAGACAATTTAATTTTTTCAAATTATTAAACATGCGACTCTAAATAATAAATAAGTATCTTAGTTCTTGCAATAAAAAGATATGAAAGTATCGGGATTTCCCATTTTCCAGTGGGTGACCTCAAATGTACGCTGATGATATTCATAAGTTTCCTTGTAAGTAACATGTTTTGCAATGATGTTGATACCTATCGTTTCGATTGTGCGATAAACGCGTCGGTTCGATTCGAACAATGATATTGACAATTGGTTAGTTTTCAACGGAATCCTTTTGACGAGAACTTCTCTGAAAGTGTACTATCTACCTGTTGCACAATAAAGAACGTACGTACATTCTTGAAACTTGAAGCTTTATCATAAGTCCGAAACCACAGTTCTTGACACCGAAAGTGGCCAAAAAGTTGACAACACAACCTTATTCTAGTTGTAGTAACAACGACGTGTAGCGAACTTTTTGGCACCTTTGGGTGTCACCAAGTATTTGACGCTAACTGTTACTGTACTATTATAATTAGCAAGCTCATTTGTTAACTTAACCATGTTCTTATAATATGTATTGTCAGTAATGTTTAATAGACGTGTGTGTGGCTTCCCGTGATTCCACAACATTAGCGAGTGAGTTTTCCCCCGGGAAACCCCCTGACGCGGTATAATAGCGGGAATAGGTACTAGGACTATAATTACGTGACTTCGACAATATACGCAAAGTAATGATGCAATTTACTGGCGCCTCTATTAGGGTTTTCAATTAGGTATGTCACGATTTTATAGGTACGCGTATAAGGTCGAACCAGAATCTTCCAGAATTGTAAAAGAAACGTATTGATTTCGGGGATTCGGAATTCATGCAGTTCAAGCCTTATCCAGTTGTCACAGCCTGTCCAGTTTTTGTAACATTCGTATACTTACTTAGTGGTAAAACGAGTTTCGGGATTTTACAAGTCCTTAAAATTTTCAGGTTTTCCTGAACTGACTGGCAACCCTACGCTTTGATGACAAGTTGACAAGCTCTATTTAAAGAAACTAATTGAACTGTACCAAAGTTTGAGGCCAGCCGTTCGCCAAATAAATTAACTTGACCCAAAAATATAAAGACCACTTTAATTCTGAATGTTTGGTGAATTAATTCCGAAAGTTAGAACATTTTTTCTAACAGAAGAGAGACAAAATTTGTTTTAATATGTTCTTGCAGCGTAAAATATTATGTTATTTTTATGTTAGCTTACGTTTATTTAAAATCAGCTAATAAATAATAGCAAGAACTTCATCCCGAATGTAAGGAATAGAGATGCTAGTTTCCCTAAACGGATGTTTTACAAAACTTCTACTTCATGAAGTGATCAAGTGAATCAGTCAAGAGCGATGTATAGTCACATGTAAACCTATAGACCTTTGGACTAGTCAGAGCCAAAGTTAATGCCTAACTTAACAAAAAATACATAATCACGTCTCTACATTTGGTACATTTAGTTTCTCACATTTCATAATGCGTATAAAAATTAATGTATTACAATCTTATGTAACTGCATGCAATAATTAAAACGATCTGGACAACGACATTAAACAAAAAACTTGTATTCCGATAACTGCTACCACATTCACTACTGTTATAATAAACAAAAAATCAGAGCTAAGCAAAAAAGGTCAATGCAGCGCGGAAGTAGCTATAGTGAATTTACAACTGCCTACTATAAGCGGATGAGTCAATAACAACCTTGTAAGAAGGTGTTGGACAGAAGCCAATAATAGCTGATTAAAAAATGTACACAATCCACTAAGCTAACGGCGTTCGACATTATGACTGGCCAATAATAATATTGGTGTCAATAACCATCAATATTATTGGCCTTCATTCACACACAACTAAAAAACTTTGATATCGATTAATTATTTTCTGAAATGAATAATAATATTGTTAATTTAATAAATTATGATGCGATAATGAAGCTATGTCAACCGCCTATGACGATTCATATTTAGATAACGGGACTTTTACTGACACGCTACAAGAAGAAAAAGACTTCACAAGATCATTATGAGTGGTTCAGTTTGTGCTGCGTAAAGCAAAATATTTTGAATGGACTAGGTATACATATCTAGGTGAGAACATGTTTAACGGAATAGACCCAATGCGATATTGTTTATCGAGAGTGCTCGTAATAGAACACCACTATGTTATTATTTGCTTTGCATTCGTTCCGCGTATACGTAGAAAGGTGCGAATTAGCCTTCAATACATTATTGATGTTTCGCAATTCATTCTTGACATAATTAGGCTGCTATCATGTCTTGCGTGAAAATACGACAGCATAAATCGCCATACACTTCGGAAGAACAGTTTTGTGCTTGTAGATTTAGATTTATAACTTGTTTATTTATGATCGATAAAAGTGAGGGTGATTGATGATTGAAATTAATTAAAACAATAATTTTAAATTCAGCAATAAACTCCTTAAAATGTTGAGTTTTAAGTCCAGAAAAAACTCATACCACCAAAATACGAAATCATTTTTTTTCTTGCTACGTCAAAACATGAAGTCAGAATATTAAAGAGATTCAATCTAATAATGCGTAATTATTAACATCAGGTATTTTATTTACAACACGTGTAGTTATTTTATTGGTAAAAGTACTTGGTTCTTCAAAAAATATCCATAATTGGCTTCGTCTTGTTAACACAGCCGGCAAAAGTAATAGTTCAAATTAAATATTGCTGTTAACGTTAAATGCCTAATTAAAATACAAAGAAATAGGTACTTTGTCAGCTAGTCATTAGTTCACCTCGAAGTAGAGACAACTACCGGTCTAAATGTAGAGTAAAAGTAACAAACAAAATAATAGCTCATGAAATGGTTCATCAGGAAAATAAGGAGAAAAACCAATGAGGATAAGTATAGTTTTCTAAATTCTCTAGAGATACCTATTCATGCATTTGTTTGGTGATTTTCTAAAAAAAAACCTAAAGATATTTTATGATTTTATGCACTTCTTTGCTGATTTGTAAGCCAAAGGTCAATGGAATGAGAAACACTTGCAGTGGCATATCGAAAGCGTGCGTGTGCGCAACCACGGCGAAACCAGTTCGCAAAAAATTCACCAAAAGCGGCGCGACCGCTTCCCTACAGCCGGGGGAGGGGGGCTGAAGGTAGAGTTCCGTGCTCTGACTGGTTAAGTTGTGAATTTGGACCTAGGGTGTACCTGTACGGGTTAAAAATATGATTCATTTGTTAAAATAAGGTAATAGGATATTAATTGTAAACATATCTCTGGCACTCGGAATAATAAAGTAGTTTATTAGGTACTCCTTCTCTTTGTTTTTAAAGTCAGATAAAGAAATATACTTACTAAGAGAAAGCCACACATTTCCCGGAAAATGTCAGATAAGGCATGCGTGTTTGGCTAATCGCCCTTTGACGACTGAAAATTTACACCAGCAGGGTGCGATTATTTTAATATTAACTAGGCTCTATTACCTAAGTTCCTACTTTAATATTAAAATAATTTCTTTGTCTCTACCATGATTTAAACGATATTTTAAGCTTTAAGGTCGCCGTTTGAAAACTACACACATCGAATGGTACTTTAACTAAACTTTTGAAGTAAAAAAGTAAAGTAACTAACTATGGAACCACAACAACTGCAAGAGTCATACATAAGAAAATAAAGAAAACCGGCGAAAAAATTCGGCGTCAACTTTTTACTAACACCACTGAAACAAGAACTACTCGTCCTCATCATTATAAATCGTCTTGCAAGCCAATTGCTGAGGAGTGTAAAAAGTTATTAGATGGAAAAAGAAATTGGAGCGTTAGACTATGCGGTTGGCATTCCTTTTTTATTTATGCATGTTTGCTACGAATATGCATAATTACATCTTTACGCCTAATTTGCTAAGCTGACTAGATATTTATAGTCTTAGAGCGACAATTACTTTACTGTAGGTGATTAATTCCACTCCAAGTTTTAAAAGCCAAAATGTTCCCCACAAACGGCATGTGATAAGAAGACTGGCGATAATGATCTAAAAAAACAAAACACTAAACTTACTCGAAAACAATCATCAGACACAGAGTAGACAGAAACATTCCGGTCAGCTAGCCCGACCACGTACGCTTGGTCCATCGCCAGGGCCGTCATGTTAAGACCCTCATGCTCCTCCTCACTCGGGTCCTCCAGCCAGGACCTGACAGCCTCCGCGTACCACTGCCAAGTGTCATTAGAATACACTGTTTCATTCATTTTGCACAGATACAAACACTCGGAATTTCACGTTTGTAACTTCTTCCTGTCCGAAGTAGTCAAAACTCTACTCGAAACAGCTGATTCTGAACATTTTAGTGCGATCCAAAGTTTATTTTTGTACGATAGAGCGAAGGGAGAGGCGCGTGCGAGCAGCTAAGTACGCGAGGCGGCACTGGCGGCGGAGCCGGTGCGTTGTGGCGGTCGTGCCGCAAGTTAGTAAATAAAGACGACTTTCTGCAAGAAAAATAACTATTCCAACAATAAACGAAAGCGCAGCGCCTGCCAATGATGAGATTTTCCCGCGAAAACAACATTACGAGCGTTCTCCTTTAGGAAACTGGTGCGAAAGCGTGTGGTTGGAGCAGTTACATAAAAATAGCACCACTCTACTCGTACAATAATTGTCATTCAGTTGGCGATATTCTACTTTCGGCTGTGTCTCAGACCCAAGACAGAACATTTGTGCAACAAGCGCAGCTTTATCTCAAGTAGCTTCAGGAAAATTATAAAGTTCAGGACGCTGACTATTGGTTGTCTAGAAAAGATTCATTTTTCTTTACATCAATGTTACTCGTAATACCAATGGTAGCACTCTCTTCTTTTAATATTTAAATAAATAAAATAATCGATTTAGTTGAACACAATATCGTAAAAATGTAGTCACAGACTAATTATAATAAATCATGTTAGTTTAATAATACAGGCATGCTAATTATTCTGATATAATAAGCGTATAAGTATAAAATATGCAGATCTTGAGGCCAATACAGCAATGGCATGAACTCATGCAAATCGATGATTAGAAAACGTGTAATACTTGGTACAATATATGAGTGCATACGCTCTGACCCTGCGTCTGCAATCATGGCTGGCCTTCCCTGCACAAGAAACTCGATACTAAATCAATGCGTATGCTTATTAATACTTATTAAACAATTAATCAGTCCTGCCTCTGTTCAGTTCGAGATCACCCGCTCCATGAAAAACAATCTTCAGGCGATTTCAAAACATTAAAGTTTACGTAGTTAAATAATAATGTTTGCGAAAATAGCAGTGGTACTTTCAATGTGTGCTCTACAAGTTATTTGTTTTGATCTCGGCGGTCCTGCAGGGTTTATGGCCGATTGTAAGTTTTATTGAAATTAATCACACTTTTAACAATCGAGTAATACGAGTAAATGGTCTCTACTTCGGTAGAGGATAATCAAATATTTACGTTTGCTAATCATCATGCTATGGTACCTATACATAAGGGCGCCACTATAAATTGTTATTTAACGTGCAATAAACAGTTTTAATTTGAAATTTACTTGACTTTTGATAGACGAAGTGTTTGATTCCGTCAGCGTGTTATGAAACCGATTAATTTAAAATTCATCGTTATTTTTTAGCTAGAAATTTTGAAAACTCCCTTGCCTATCCATAGCAAACGATTCAAAAGTAGATAAGTTTTATCTTGTTACCAACAGGTCCAGGAATGAACCGCAGCACCAAGCTGTCAGAGCGCACCAAAAGGTCTCAGTCGGTAGTAGTGATTCGGCCCTCGAGTGGGATCCTGTCAAGCCTCATCGCAGAGAAGCGGTGCAGCATCAGTGCCAGTGGCGCTGAGTGCACTGCGGACCACATCGACCTGTCGAAAAGGAAGACACAGGTAGGACTAAGGCAGATAACTAAGTACTTCAAAACGTAGACTAGAGATCGATTTCTCGACTATTATTATACAAATATGCCATTTTACATAAAGTTAAGCAAGTAATAGCAAAGGCTTAACTAATGTTAAAGCATTTGTTTACGTAAAAAAATAACAATCCATGCTAATATTATACTTGCAACAAAAGTAACCATGTTTCCTTTCAAGCTTCAACACCTGAACCGATAGATGCTATTTGGCATAGATATAGTTTGAGACCCAGGGAAAGAGGAGTTTTAACTAAATTTTGGAAGTAGAATACGCGCGCTATTATGTCTTTCTGTGAACCAAATTCTAACAAGCGAAGCCGCGGGAAACAGCTAGTGTATAATGTTTTTACCTATTTAGGTGGTGATCGGCGGTTACCTCAATTCGGCGTCGTCTATACTAGTCCGCTCAGTGGTGCAGCCTTATCTGGACCTCGGCCGCAACGTCATCGTGGTAGAAATCTTCCCTCTGCTTCTACGCACATACCCTGTGTAAGTTGTAGACTATGCTTATCAGAAAGTAGAGTTAGAGATAACTTAGTTAAATATTCTATCATTAGCTAGATACGCATGCAACACCAGTTTTGAAATTGCTTGGACTATTTTACAAACTTTTATATTCTGATACATGTGGGGATGATTTAATATGTAAAACAAACAGTAAAGTGTGTAATACTTACTCCTTACCATCTCGGTATCAAAGAAAATCGACCTTGAATAAGTAATACCTGCACAAAATCAATTCAGTGGAACGATGGATATCAGAGCGTTACCATTTAAGTATATGGTCGCGAATATCTTGTACGCACGATTTATTACTAACTTTACGAGAAATAGACGTGAAAATATACAGACTTAAAAGTCGACAATAATAGGTTTTCAATGACGTCATTATCCTAGTAACGATCAGCCCTCTATCCTACGTGGTTTGTGAACCATTAACGTATAAAGAACCCAAGTAGCTACATGATGGGGAAATTTATAGGGTTCCAACCTACAAATGTGTTCCCAAATTACGCACAGCGCGTTTAAATCATATAGAAATCGTCAGAAACTCGTGCATATGCCAAGAGATATCTCTAAACGCAATGTTTCTGTGGTTGCCATATAATTACGCGGACGTATATCGGACTAGCTTCTTAGTGGAACACTTTGCGTGTGCTAAGGCACCAGGCACCGAGCGTACAGTTGATTACCAAATATTATGAGTAAAGTGATTCGATTTAGGAGAAGTCGCGTTAAGAGTCGGAAGAATACTGCACGATAAAATGTAGCCCCTCGCTTAAAATTAAAGGGCTTTACCAGATAAGAGGGCGGAACATGGTGGTTGGATGGTGGGAAGAAGTTTGGATAGCTTTAGCACAGGACTATGGTCCGATCCAAGGAAGTGGCACGTTTGATTAATTTTAGTGGGATCAGAATAAATTTTGCAGTCATCAGTTTCAGGCATATTACAAACAATGTAGATGCAAGTGTACAATTTTCAATGTCTCCACAGGGCAGCTCGAGTGACAAGGCCGTTCGGCGCGCTTATAGGCGAGTACCTCGCATCGCTCACTGAGCACGGACTGACGGCCAACCGACTGGAACTGCTGGGAGCCAGCTTGGGCGCACACATAGCTTCATACGCAGCTGAGAAGTTCTGGGAGCTGACTGGGACGAGGCTGGCTAGACTATCAGGTAGATAATACTTTAGATTCTACTACTCGGTACTCTTCTTATGTCACCGAGATAAGCCAGAGAGTAAATCCAGACTACCAAATAACACTGATGTAGCTATGCCACACGTGGATTTCACAGTTTTCTTTCCCTTTAACCTTTTCACATAAGGCATCATCATCATCCGTATTGCATTATGTAGATACTTCAACGGTAGAACTGCAGTCTGAACGAAAATTGTATTACTTTTATAATAAATCCCTTACAACGACAAAATTCGTCAATAAGCCACAATAGCCGCACGGTGAAGGAGTCTTATTGATAGACTCGACATCCTAAGAACGCGCTGGTTGGAAATCCGCCACTCTAAGTACTATTGAAAAAGAGATAAAAACACTTAAAAATGAGATGGCACTTATTATTAACAATTTCCAGCTCTAGACCCAGCAGGGCCGTGTTTCCGCAACCTGCCGTACCTGCATCGACTGAACCACCACGTGGCGAGGCGAGTGGACGTGCTGCACACAAACATTGACGGCTTCGGCATAGCGGACCCCTTGGGCCATGTCGATTTTTACGCTAATGGAGGTAGGATATGAAATTTAAATACATATTTAATTTTTCTGAACATTTCGTACTTCGGTGTTTATTTTTTCGTCACGCCCTATCAAGCATGTAGCTTAGGGCCCTCTCTCACGGCGACAGCATCGCTACTAACGCGTTAGTCGCATTTGCAACGCACTACAGAAGTGATGCCAACGCGCTACTAACGCGCTACAGCAGCGCGAATGCATCGCTACAAAAAGTCGCCGTGGGCGAGGGCCCTTATTTTTTTTTCAGACAAGCTTCTAAAGATGTATGAAAAAGCAAAGCTGTTTAAATATTTTTAACTAAGGTCACTCTTGGATACGGAAAACTGTAAAAAAATATACCTACTTTTATAAATATATTCGTCCCAACTTCAGCAGTAGCAAACATAAAGCCGTTACAATAAAGCATGCTGTATAAAGTAGGTATTACAGTTTAAACTGAATAAACATTATTTCAGGAGAGTATCAACATGCGATAAAGAAGGAATTCCTTCTACCGTGTCTCGTATACTGCAGCCACACCCGTTCCGCCTTTTACTGGATAAAGGCGTTCATGAACCCTGAGAAGTTCATCGCCGTCCGCTGCGACTCCGTGGCGAGGGCGCGACGAGGCGACTGCTACCGGACCAACGTCACCACAAATCTTCTTGGACCCAAAACGGACTTCAAAAAACCAGGAATATATTACCTTCCTACCAACGGAGCACCCCCCTACTACAGAGGCAAAGACGCCCTCAAAGCACGAAGCCTCGGCTCCAACACATACCTCCTAAGAGTAGCCCCCGACGAGGACATAATTCTCTGACAAATAAAACACGAAAATACATTTGGAGCGTTTTATTTCATTTCATTACAATATGCAAAACAACAACTACTTATTATGTTTCGTTACGCCGAAATTCAACTCCTACATTCGTATAAAACTATCTAAAGTACATTATATACAGTGGTTATCAATTCAGTCGAAAATCACTAAAAGCTCTCGAGTGAACTAGTTTGCTCTCGACTCGGTTTGAGCAAATATTGGAAGCCATTTATAGATATTCGATGTTGTTCACATCGGTCTGATATTGACACAATTTTATTTATTGGTTGCGATTGTAAGCACACGTAATACTTCATTGATTGAATGAAAACACATTATTAATACTATGAAAATGAAATTCAAAAATAATAAAGCGTTTTTCAGTAATTGATCTAAATTCATATAAATATTAATTTACAAAATAAAGATTAACATCATAATTATGATTTCCAATAAATAGTGAATCTAAAAATAATACAATTCCAATAAAATAGACGTGTCGGCAACACAGTAACAAACGTATGATATTTCCTCGCATATCACTTGTATGTGAACACCATGCAAACCTCTAAGGATGCGACAGCTCATTCAGATCTCAAATGACCGCTAACTAGCTAATTAATGTAACATTTAAATATATCTACGCGAACGGTGACACAGACCAAAAGCACCACAAAGCGACAATAAAGTAATACAAAAATAGTCAATTTATATAGGAATGTAAATAACGATTAAGCCGATAGAAATTAATATCAAGCAAATAATTGTATTATCGCAATTGTTTTTCCTTCGACAATAAATTGATTTTAATCAATTACAAAACATTTTTTTGAATACATGATAGTGATTTTATTAAATCGTAAGTATAAGTTTATATTGTGGTATTATAACCACTTTTATTAAACTAGGTAGAAAATTGATATGTGTCTAACGTATATTATGTTTGAAAAAATTTCATTATTAAAGTTACAACCACAAAGTGGTTTGATTGACAATGGTAAGGCCACTATCAACATTATCATAGTAACAAATTGAAGTTTGGCACTAATGTTTGAAAATACAATAGTTATTTAGGCAAATTGGGTTACCGACCTATTGAACATATCACGCAGGTACGTAAATAAGGTTTTGAGCTATGTAGTTTAAAAGTAACAGACCGTTCATAGTACATTTGTGTGAGAAATTGTACGTTGGAAAACTCTGAAGCGGTTAGCTAAAGGCGTAACTAAAATTCATATACAAGCTTTCATGATTAAATAGGTAAATTGTCTTTTTATATCTTCAATAATTAATCACAGCTTGGAAACAACGTAGTATCCAAAACTGAATATGATCTTCATGTTTTATAAACGTGCGGCGGTGTTTGTGTAAAGACAAGTACATCGCAAGACACGTAATTTACACGATCGTTTTAAATAATTAGTGATTTTAAGTAATCTGCAATATAATATTGAAGCTGAAACATAATCTGTACTGACCATAGATTTAAAACAGCACTAAAGCGCCATCTACGTGTTCTGTACTAGTTACGCCCGAGCCCGCTCACGTGGGAAAATCCGTTCTCCAAATAGCGGAGCGGGCGAGTATTAGCTACCGAGGAATGTACTCTAAAGGATACCACGCCACAGTTTCTTCCCTCAGAGGCAGCGAATTGAGGGGAATCACCACTCCGCCTAGGAACTGGTTCTCTTGTAAGGAGTCGTAGTGCCACACTGTGGCTTGAAGACTCCTGTTCTTGACGACTTCTATGGGCAGCCGGTATTCGAGCATCTCCATGAATGAAGGATGCGAGTTGCGTTTCAGAACGCGCGTCTTTCGCTTCGTCTCTTTGGTTGGGTCCGGTACTAGATATACCTGGCGATGAGAAAATATTGGTTAGTTTTATCATTTGGTACAGTGGTGATTAGTCGTTTTTCCCTAACAGTCAAGGATAATGTTTTATGAATCATGATATCACACTCACACTTTCACACACATACATTTTATTTTATTTTCATTTTATTGTGTTCGCGGGTGGATCCGCCGATTTGATTCCGCGAGATTTATTTTACGTTTTTTGAAAAACTTTACAGGAATGCGTGCAAACTAGCTTAAACTGAAAGGTTAAGCAATGAGCTTTTTAGATCAGTGTGAGGCCCTTAGATGCAATCGTTATTTTAGAAGTAACAAGCGTCCAAATATTTTTTCACAAAATGGTAATGACGTTTTCCCAATGGTAATGATTTTATTAAAATGGTAATGTCTTATGTTAATGGTGATGACGAAATATAATTTTATAGTAATACATTAAATTAAAATAACTTGAAAACTAAAATTTAGATATAATTGTTCAGCTAAACACCAATCCTAGCTAAGCACGTACCTATTAAAGAATGGGTTGGAAATAAAAGTAAATGTAATCAATAATTTAATGAATTAATTGAATTTGGAACAATACGGACATTAGTTAAAAAATTTTTACGTTCCTAATATTATTCAGAATCAGAAAAAATATATATTTACACCAATGAGGATTTTGAATGAAAAATATGCCAAGCTACTCTTACTTAGACTTACACAATAGTCAACATACAAGAAATGAATAAAAAAACGTCTTTTCGTAAACTAATAAAAAACATTCTCATTTAAAAACAAAGCTTAAAGAACAATGGGACAAAACGTCCCCAGAACTGTAGCACTTTAATACCTACCTTATATGATAATACCTACCTTATATGATAATATAAGGTAGGTATTAAAGTGCTACAGTTCTGGGGACGCTGCTAATACCCGACCGATCTCTCTAGCTACAATCACGGCAAAGGTCCTTGACAGTGTGCTTGACTCTCTACTAGATAAATATTTAAAATCACATGATGCTCAATTCGGGTTTAAGCCTGGACTGTCGACCGAGAGCGCCATCCTTAGTCTTAAGCACACTGTCAGGTACTATACGGATCAGGGGACTCTCATTTACGTATGCTTCCTCGACCTCTCCAAGGCGTTCGATCTTGTGTCTTATGACATCCTTTGGGATAAGATGAGGAGGCAGGGCATCCCGTCAGAAGTATCACAAATATTCCATTATTGGTATGCTAACCAGATTAACAGTGTAAGATGGGCTAACGTTTTTTCTGAGGAGTATGGGTTGCAGTGCGGGGTGAGACAGGGTGGGCTGACGTCTCCCAGGCTTTTCAACCTATACGTAAATGACCTCATTGTTGCCCTTAGCAGTATGCGTATCGGATGCTGGGTAGATGGTGTTTGTATCAACAACATAAGCTACGCTGATGATATGGTACTGCTGGCGCCAACAATGGGGGCTCTCAGAAAGATGGTGGGTGTGTGTGAAAAATCCTTCCCCACACCAGAATTAAGCTACCTCCATAAACCACGATATTTTCAAAATTAAGACTAAATGTTACGTTCTCTTTGTGTCTCCATATTCGCTATCTTCCATCGATCTGGTTTAAGAGAACTCTGCACTCATAAGTGAAGAGATCATGCCTCCAGTCGTTCAAGACCCAATCACGATATTCACGTGAAAAGTTCAATATGTTTTTTCGGTGCTGTGTCACAAGTTGGAGCTTTCTCGGGTATGCACGACCCTATACCAACTTCAGTAAATCTCCTGTGAACTGTGGGCTCAGTCACTCTTACTCCTCGAGTGTCTTTAAGGTTATTTCTGGCTTGAACAGCAGGTAACCGCGACTTTCTGAAAACTCGAAGTTGTAAAAAACGGTCATCCCGTCGCGAAGTACGCCTTTTTCTGACTTGAACCCTCCTCCTAACGACAGAAATGATCAATCTGTACCGTTGGTTACTGCCATGGGTGGTCGATACTGATCAACGACGTCTTACGGCAGCCGATTTGTATGCATGGCCGTTACTTCTCATTTCATCTGCCTTAATGATTTCTGACGGTGCTAAGCTGGGCATAATAAACCCTTATAAGTAACTGAATGCTTACACAACAAAATTCTCAGAAAAAAACATCTTTCACGTAAAAGAAATCCAAATTAGCAAAAGCTTCATTCAATTCAAAACACTCAACGAAACTGTTGATGGGGTAATTTAAACAAAATAATTAAAAAAATATACTGTTGGCAATTATTTTTTTCATATTTAGAATTATATTAAAAAATAATGTCATAATTAGGCATTTTTTTCCTAAAATAATGATGATATTGATGCTTTTTTTTCCGTTCCTCTAAATCTGCCGGTGTGTGTATCTTGGACACTACGTTACTGATGACCATAAAGATCATGTTGATATCGAGAGGGAACGAAGGGCGCTGGCAGTAAGGTGTAATATGTTGGCTCGCAGGTTTGCCCGATGAAATGACCATGTCAAGATCACTCTGTTTAAAGCATACTGTCAGAGTCTATACACGGGAAACCTGTGGACCACGTACTCGCAGAAATCGCTTAGCGTCCTTCGGGTCCAATATAACACCGGTTTCAGGATGCTGTTGGGCTTGCCTCGCTTCAAATGTTTGCTCAGTCGCACACTGACGGCTTCTTTGCTGTCCTATGCAAGAAGACTGCCTCGTTGCTCAGTAGGATACGGGCGAGCCCCAACAGTATCCTGAAGACCGTGGCGGAGAGGTACGACTCTCCTATTATCCGACATTTCCTTCGGCTACTTCTTACCGAACGGGTTGGATAATTAGTGGTATGTTATTCGTTGCTCGTAACAGAACAGAATGCACGTAAAAAGACAATGCCGGAAATTGGCGTCTTTTTTTTTTCGCGCGGCCATCGACCAAACTTTGTTTTTTGATTATAAAATAGTGTAATAAACCAAACTTACTATGACATGTATACCTCTAAACTCAGTCTGAACTGAGTTACGAGCATTACAAGTTTGATGATTTTCATACTAGATTTGCTTTTTGTGCGCAAGTTTTGTAAGAAATTGCAACAAAATATTGCGCAATTTTTTTATTGCGCTGATTCTGCTCCACACTATTGTCTGGAGCCTTTAATGGATGGTATTGTTTGTTTACACATACAATCTCACTATTTTGTTGCAATTTCTTACAAAACTTTGCGCGCAAAAAGCAAATCTAGTATGAAAATCATCAAACTTGTAATGCTCGTAACTCAGTTCAGACTGAGTTTAGAGGTATACATGTCATAGTAAGTTTGGTTTATTACACTATTTTATAATCAAAAAACAAAGTTTGGTCGATGGCCGCGCGAAAAAAAAAAGACGCCAATTTCCGGCATTGTCTTTTTACGTGCATTCTGTTCTGTTACGAGCAACGAATTGAAGAGTGGGACACGCGGACACAAGCGGGGATAAGTCGCGTCGCAGCCGCATTAAAGAACCTTTGATGCTGCCGCGATGGCTATGACGATTTCTCGTGACAAAATTTCAATTCATGATTCCATTTTTTTGGCTAATACGATTTCAATATAATTTTGTTATTTTGTCACGGTAAATATGTACATTTTAAATTTATAATCAAAATCGGGTCTGTGTATAGGTAAAGTAAAAAAAATTAAAAGACAACGGCAAAGGTCAGTACTTTTACTGTGATGGTAATGACGTTTAGTGCGTGTTTTCTTGATTATCGAAATAACTTGAAGTATTTAATCAATATGGATCATGGCGCCTTATGTGGAAACTTGTATGAATCGTTATTCAGAAGTTTAATTTACCAGAACTACAACAGTTTTTTTTTTATCGATCGGAACATAAGTTTTTTACTGTTTCGTGGATTTACCCTCGCTCTAAACACTGATATAGTCTATGTTTTTGGTGAGGAGCCTGACTCTCGTTACACAGGTTAACCTTTTACGATAGCGACACATATCTTGTAATTTAAGTGTTTATTTAATAAAAAGTATTTTCATTTTCATGACAAATAAGTCCGATTTGCGCAACTAAGGATTCCCTTTCAACTTATCGATCGTCATAAAATTGTGAGCTGTATTACCTTGACATAAGGGTTAGGCGGCAGTCCCTGCGGCGTGATAGCGAGCGACTGGGCGTGTAGAATAAGTACAGAGAGCACTCCTCCCGCGTACTGCACTGAAAGCTTTAGCGAGCCCGATCCACTGCTCTCGGCTTCGGTCGATTCACCTGGCGAAAAAACACACGTAAACAAATTTATTTAAAGAATAAGTTACACAAGTAATATGACGATTGTAATGTTATTAAAGTATTTAGATTGAAAGATAAATTATGTTTTGATTAATATCTTACACGAAGCAATAATCTAAGTTGAGACGAGTTCATTTACCCACACATAACAACACAAATTGTTACTTTTACGCTCTCAACTCAACATACTAATGATTCGGATAATGCACTTACTTGATATTGTCATATATATCTTCAGCAAAAGATATACAATAAAAAATGAATTGTGTCGCCATTTCAAAAGAGTTATAAAGCTCTTACTTTGTAAAATGCTAAAGGCAAACTGAACACATTGCATTAATCAATTGACAATCGAATACTTTGCGTGAATTTTTCGCCTTTATTCTAAAGTGTACACTCAAAGATGTATTTCCTTTACTAATTAGCCGAGTTACCGAGTAGTTTCCAGCTATTAGTTTAAAAAAGGAACCAACCTCCTTTCTTCTTCCTCTGTGGCTCCACATCCTGCTGGTCCCTCAGCAGCGGATGGAAGAACGTATAAACCAGGTCGGAGTGCGCAATCTCGTCCGCCAAGTTAAACAGTGACGTGAGAAACGCCTGCACGTCGCTGAATCGCCGCTCAGCCACCTGCTGCGTGTTAGATCGGCCTACGTGCAGGCCTGATGGGAGGCTGGAAAAAAATATATCACGTGATAAGTGCAACAGTCCCATTTATTTTTTACGGTTATTGGACTTAGCAGTTAGGCAGTGGGTGGTTGATTCTTTGACAGCAAAGAGTAACATTGAATAGTAATTTAGTCATTTTCAAATTAAATAGTAATTTAGTTTAATGACAAAGACCTAATTTTTATAAGAGAAGGTTAGTAAATAAAAGTAAGTATTATCAGGCCTGGCTCACTCCGCGCGGTACATCCGATAATGAAGAATGTTCACTAATTTTGTTTTTTAGCTTTCTGTATTCTCTGTTAAAAATAAAAAATACACGTGAAAAAATTATTTCGATACGTCAATTAGTTTCCAAGATATTGAATTTTAAAAGTGCGGGCGGCGGCCGGCCCCCCATTTTATGCGCGTGACGTCATATTACAGTTACTGGCTCATATTTGTATGGGTGGAATCTTGCAAGCTCAATTAAGACCCACTTCCGGACAACCGATTAAGCTGAAATTTCGCATACACATGTGATTTGGATGACCATGCAATATTATGATGACATGGAGCTGATCTGATGATGGAGCTGGAAGGTGGCCATAGGAACTCTATAATAAAACGACTTAAATCCATCGAGTTTGGGCTCGTTCGTTTTGTATTGATGAGTACTTCAATGCTATACAGTAATCAAGGTCTGATGATGGAGCTGGAAGGTAATTCGCAATAAAATGACATAATCGCATCAAGTTTGGGTTTGGTTAAATTTTAATTTCTGTGATGGGTCTGGATGTTAATATGTATAATAAGTATGTATTTACAAAAAAAAATGTATTTATGTACGCTTATATCCGTTGTCTAGTGAGCGGACACTGTGAATGTACGTCACGCGGGGTCACGTGACCGTCGGCGGGACTCGATATTTAAGCGAACTTTGAATGCCTATAAAATCATAACTACTTGGTATTTTTGAATGAAACAAAAACCAATGTATTTGTATATGTAAAAGCTTAACTGTAACATAGGTTTCAAGTGATTTTGCATACCTAGTAACATTCTCAATTACCTACAGCGAAACGCCCCGCCGGCGGGTATTATATCAGTCGAGTGTCACGCGCGCGCTCGTCAGGACGCTGGCGTGCGTTGTAGTATGATTATAATTCTATGATCGAAGTATTATTTAAAAATGGACATAAAGAGAAAGAAATATTGTGCGGCGTTCGGGTGTTTAAATTCGAAAAGTAATCTACCGGATTTATTTTTTTTTCGCTTTCCAAAGATGCTGAAAGGTATGTTGGCCATGTAGGTAATCAATAATTCTTAGGATAGTATAGGAACCTAACCTACTATGACTACTGCTCAGAATGCGTTCGTTCGTTTCAGCCAAATGACGTCCACTGCTGGACAAAGGCCTCTCCCAAGGTTTTCCATAATGAATGCATACTTACTTACATACGTACCTCATTACAAATAAGTAGATTAATTATTTTTTCACTAGACAGCAACCCTAACAGCGTAAGAAGAGTTCAGAGGCACGCGATAGAAAGAGACAAAACTTGTAGGTGAATAAAATTGTAGGTACGTAGTGCTGTGCGAGCTGAATTCCACTGTATCGCGTCGTAGCAAGACTCGCATTTATTTAAATCGTCTTGCGGAGTAATCCTTCTGTACCTGTACTATTACTTATTCTGTGGTATTATACAATTAAAGATACCAGTTACTATTATTTATCATCTTTGAAACTGTAGATAAAATCTAAATTGATCAAAGTAAATTAAAAAAGTTTGTCAAACTGAAGAAAACAATTAAAAACTGATTGCAGATTCCTTTGTCACCGAGCCCCGCGATTAGTTCGAATAATTTCGTTGGTACAAGATAAGATTGCGCTCATTAAACGTGAAATAACTTCGTCGGACACTTATCATTATCTAATCTAATAGAACAGGTATTGATTCAAACAGTAATGGACGAAACCGCAATTGTCACGAATACTAATATTTATTTACATGTGGGAAGTGAAATATTACAATGGCAGTGATACGAAATCCCACGGACCGTAAGTACGATAACACTAATCGTTCGGTTCGGAAAAAAACTAGTGCAAATTCGGAATCGACCCTAAACTTTGCTTGCAGTTGACAATCCAGTGAGCTACGTTGCGACTGTGGCGTTTTTTTGCGGCGTGTCGTGTGTCATCCTGATGCTCAAATTCCGAGGATTCCGGGCGTCTATGAACTTGAGCTCTTGGAGGAAGAAAGACAATGAAATAGATACCTCAGTATCGCTGACCGGGGCCTATAGAATAAACAGAGATGATTTCTATGGTAAGATTAGTAAGCCATACAGATTATTATTTAGTAGTGAATGAACCGTGAATTTGTTTTATTTGTTTGTTCAGGTTACAGAAAGATAACGTTTTATAACTCCAAATTTAAAAGAAACTAGGGCGTGTACTGTAGTCAACGATAAGAAGATTAAATAGGATTTGAATGATTTGAAGGTTATGTTGTATCGCTTATTATGACTACCATAATAACACACACTTTTTAGTCTAAAGTTCTTATACAACGCTCAAACAAATATTCAAGGCTGTGATTGGTTAAAATCCAACCTTACCTCGTAATAAAGTGACATTGCATCATCTTTCAGGCAATGCCAGAATATCCGAACCACCGAAAAAGCTTACTCCATCCATGGTGGTACTTCCACCGTCCACTAAGCCGGAGCCCAGTTTAAGGCCCACAAAGAGTACAAGCGATCTTGTAAAACCGAATAATCTACCGGCACATTTAACTAAAAGCAGCCATGACGTTTCCCTGGACCCTCGAGGCCGACCGGCGTCTCATCAGCAAGAGAATGCTGCCCCGACGAGGCCAGAGAGAAAAGTTAAAAACAAAAGTCAGGATAAGGAACAGAAGAAACTAGAGAAGCAAAGATTGGCCGAGCAGAAGTCTAGAGAGAAGGCAGAGGCGCAGGAAAAAGCGAGAAAGGATAAAATTAGGCGGGAGGCAGAAAAGAAGGCAGCACAGGAACAGGCGAAAGTGATGAAAGCGGCCAAAAAGAAAGCACCGGCCGTCCCTCAGCCACAAGTTTCTCAGGCCCCGCCTGTTCCTCACGTGGTATCGAATCGATTAGCTGCGAACGCTGCACCATCATACTCCACGAACACGTTAGAAAGTTCCATTAGCAGAACAAGTGGTCCTCCGCCTTACGCCGAGACCGTTAATTCTGACGGCCCGAATACAACGGCAGGGAATAGCAATCCGGGGAATGTGACGTTTAGCAAGCCCATAGAAACGGAGACGAATAGTTGGGACTTGATATCGCAGCACAGACAGCAGATGAGCCGGCCGGCCGCCTCCGGCGTGCAAAAAGCCTCTCGAAAGAACATGGTTCTGGATTTGCAGTACAAATTAGGTAATGATAATAATAGAGACAATAGTGACGCGTAGAATATACTTTTGGGTGATTTTTTTTTAAATGAGTGTTTAGTGAGTGTTAATTTAACTGTTTAAGTTATTTTATTTATAGGTGAACGATTTAAGACAGTTGTGAAGTAATTAATCTTGAAATAAATAATATGTACAAGTAACACTTTGAGTATTCATTATCTTTTTCCTTGTCGATTTTTCCTATGGAATGTATGACGATACGCAAGTTTGATATGCGAGTTTTGCAATAATGACGTGTTGTAGAATCCTTTACCAATTCATAAGTAAAAGATAAACATTAATTACTCATACAAAGTAAGCAATATGTTCTTACCTATGAACTTTCGCTAGAGGGAAGTGCAGGCATATCTTCTGGTATAACTCCGTGAAGTGTTTGTAAGAGCGGTACAGCACGAACGGAGTCGTCTGTCCTTGTCTGAAGATTCGTAGCGCGTACACGTAGTGCTTTTCCGGGTCGTAGCGCTTCTCGTAGCCGAGACATTCCACACTGACTAAGCGGCCTTCTTGGGCCATTCTGTGAGTAAAGAACATATTTGATACAATACAAAGATCATTTTCCCTTGAAAACTCTTCGGGTTTTTGAGCTGAAAGACTAGTCATTAAGGTTTAAAATATCATAGCAATTGCTCAAGAAAGTGAAAGGATTGAAACTTACGTATACGTCCGTGGCATGAATGACAGCAATTCAGAGGTATTGCTGCTTTGATCGCCGCTCGCCCTCAGTTGAGCGAGGTTGTGGAGGAAGAAGTTTATTGGGGTGAATCTGAAAAAAAATATTTGGTTATAATAACAGGCTGATTATTTTTCAATTAAAAAATGGGACAGTGCTAATGTCGACAAAAGTAATAATGATGATGCGCAACGGAGCGCCATTACAAAAAAAGATACACTTTGCCATCGGATCCAACCACCACGTGGAAAATCAGTTGTCAATGAAGATCGGTGGCTGCAAAGTTGAGTTTAAAAAAATTTTCATTGACTAAGCGATTTACAGGTTGTGTTTATTTGTAGCCCTTTTGAAGCAGTGTTGGATATACAGGGTGTTTCTTGTAAGGTGTCAAGCCGAAGGCAGGTGATAGGTGAGGACTAGACCTATCGATTTCACCCCCATGTATGTTCTACGATTTTTCATAGTTTAGAAGTTATCGTTAATTTTGTGATTTTTTCAAATTGTATGACCCAGTAGGCTTTAAATTTTTTTATCTTTTTTTTGGGTCGACTTTTCTCAGATTTCTTTTTTTGACAGATTCCCTATTAATTGCAGATTTTTGAAAAAAATAATCAACTTCCTATCTTTGATGCAAGATACAAAATTTTTGCTAGAAACATAAAAAATATGCTTTTAGCGGAACATTCTAAAATTTTCAACTTAAAGGTTTGAAAAAAAAAAGAACTTCCATAGGTCCAAAATAATTTTAAAAACTGCGCGATTATCGCTTTGTCTAAACTAGGCCTAAAGCCCTGTTAGGGCGATTACGCTCTGCCGCGAAATGTCGGTCCAAAGTAGCAGTGACATAGCCCTTACTTGCTCTTAAGCGAGGAGTGTATCAGCCGGGCGAAGGCGGCGGCGGCCTCGGCGTTTGTAGCGGCGGGTAGTAATGCGGCGCGCACGTAACCCACTGCTGCACTCGTCACGCCCGCTACTCCGGACATCGCCATCTGAGGTAATTAAATTATAACAATCATTTATCAGCCGGGCTAGAATGCCGCCTTGATAAAATCTTAGCGATGATTGACGATGATAAACGACAAATTTTATCGCGTAAAATCGACAAAATGGCGCGATAAAAGCTTATCGCGGCGAGCATTTTAGGCCTACTAATCATTTAACTTGGTTCAGCATCAGACACTAGAACTAGTGTCGTGTTGTGATGGCTTCTGATTTGTCGCGTAATGTATTAAAACGATTTCGTTCTGACGTGTCACGACACAAAACGTCAGAAAAATGTTAATCCGGCTTTAGTCTTCACAGTAGGAACACGGCCCTTTTCAATTTGCGCAAAGCAAATTTGTCCTACAATCACAATGTCTTTGTATCATTGACCCCATGCAACACAGCTCGACAAAGTGCTGGAAGCGCCGCCGTTGATAGAATATAGCACGTATTACAAGCAGATAAGAGCCCAGTAGTCTCACCAGAGCGAACAGGTCGAGTATGTGGTCGTGGTGCGCGCGGACGATGTTGAACGCCATGCAGCACAGTTCTACGAAGTGCTGGAAGCGCTGCGAGGGTCTCCCACCGCCGTTGATGGAATATAGCACCTATTACAAGCACATAAGAGCGAAGTTGTCTCACCAGAGCGAACAGGTCGAGTATGTGGTCGTGGTGCGCGCGGACGATGTTGAACGCCATGCAGCACAGCTCTACGAAGTGCTGGAAGCGCTGCGTGGGCCGCTCGCCGCCGTCAATGGAATATAGCACCTATTACAACTACATAAGAGCCCAGTAGTCTCACCAGAGCGAACAGGTCGAGTATGTGGTCGTGGTGCGCGCGGACGATGTTGAACGCCATGCAGCATAGTTCTACGAAGTGCTGGAAGCGCTGTGTGGGCCGCTCGCCGCCGTTGATAACGTATACCATATCGTGAGTCAACACAAATGGGGCGCGGTCTCTGGATAAATAATGATAATGTAATTTAAATTGTTGTAATTCAAACTTTAATGTTCTAATACATAAATTACTATTTTTTATTTTTCGAATTCTAAAGTGAAGCTGGTAACGAATGATGTACAGTCGAGGAATGAAAAGGTTCGTCACCTTAGTGTCGGTTTTCGCTTGCACTAGGTACTGTAAGAGTCAAACCTGCCAACATAACAGTGCAAGAAACAGTGCTGCTAACATTTAAATAAATATGACGTTTACTGACGAATAAGGTTTTGCTTGTTTATTTTTCTATCCCATCAGTGCAATGCAATGATGACATTGACCAATTGACAATAGTTTTTTTTATTTAATAGAAATAATAATGGCAGGTTGAACCAACAAGAAGGTTTTAGTATATCAATCATAATAATCTTCATGACAAGATAAATCATCAAACAACTTTGATCTGAATAATTTTGAAATTTACTGATGAACAGTTAAAGATTATTTTCTCTAACTCGAGATTATTCTGTAACATAGTTTCAAAAGGTAATATGTGCTCGCGATTCGTTGAAGGAATCAATTTGAAAACTGACGAACCTTTTCATTCCTTGACTGTACGATATGAAGTTCAGAAATGTAGAAAATTATCTTGCTATAGATGAACCACGCTGAACTGTCCCACCAAACTCAATGACAGGGGGGCGCTACCATCGTTCAACTATATGGTTTCCAACATGGCAAAAATCGGAACCAGCGATCCGGTATTGACGGTGGCGCCCCCTGTCAATGTCATCGATAGGACAGTCCAGTATTTTGGAACTATATCTTTCAGTAGGTACGCTGGAAGATCACGAACGTCTTGACTTCATCTCAATGAGAGTTAAAACTCATTTTCCATGGGTAATGGGTATACTTCAAAACATAAAACTTCCTATGTTGAATGCCTCGGCATAAAATAATTTTAAGAGTAGCACACTGACGTGAACCATATCCACATAATTAATTCCAATTAGGGCTGATTTTTCAATCGTCAGATATCTTTCAACTGAAGAATAACTTGTCATTTTGACATATTTCTCATACCAAAACTATCAATTCTTCAATTAAAAGTTATCCAATGATTGAAAACTCAGCCCTTAAGCTGTTGTGACTATAAGACATACCTCTTAAAGTTGCCAAACATCTGCGCGTCCCCGAGGAACTTCCCGAAGTCGATATGGAACAGGTGGCCCGAGGTCTTCAGCATAATGTTGTCGTTGTGCCGGTCGCAGATGCCCAGCAGATACGTTGCCACGCTGTAGCCGGCGCAAGACGCTGCGGAATATAAATATTAGACGTTAATTGGTATTCATTAGGATATAAATGGTAAAATAACAACTATTGGGTCATTGGGTGGTTGAAGTTGACACTATTTATTAATGATTACAAGACACAACTTAAAAAAAATTGATTCGGGCCCCTAAAACAGAATTAGTTTTCAGTTTAAAATTAGATTTTTAGTAGTTTTGGAATCGCTGAATCGTTTGCGAGCTTAGGACGTCATGTTTGACCTTTTGCCGTGTAAAGTTATTGGATAGTCACGTTATGATAACATTAAAGTTATGGCTATCCACTAGTAGCGTCAATCAAGGCTTTGATGGCTTGAACTTCAATTTTTAGACCAATCAAAGAAAATATCTATGACTGAGATTGCATCGACTTTTGAGCAGTTTTGTTAAACGGACCTTACTATAAAAATCATATTTCTAAAACCATCGACTTACCAGTAAAATTATCCCTAGCTCGCTGGTACTCTAATTCGGAGGGGTTGTGTTTCGCGAGCCATTCCGCAATGGGTTTGTCTTTGAACGACCCGGTGAGACCCCACTCGGTTTGAATGGCCCGTAATGTTTCGGCTTCTGACACTATTTCTATCATTCCTGCAAAAAATATTAATGATTCAATTAGGAAAAGTGCGATTAGATATCAATATGAACGTTACAGAAGTAAATCGTGAATGTATCGCGCGACATGGCATTTTGAAAGACAAGTCAATAATTTTGTGACCGCGAATAAAATCAGACCTCAAGCATAATAAGGTAGGATAATATCAGAGTGTAGTGTTGTATGAATTACCTCTTTTGCTACTGGTCGGTAAAGCTTGGAACGTAACCATTCGCAGATCTAAACCCGCTTTCAGCCACAAACTGTCCATTATTTTGATCACTTGGAGTACTAGTGAATCTTGCCGTAAGTCGTCACCGACCTAAAAAAATATAATTTAGGTGACTTTCATGTTCTGAATTTAGCATTTGATAATGTCAAGAAATGTAAACAAATGTAAACCTTGAACATAGCAGGTATCGTGGCGTTATCGACTCCAATGAAATTGATTTTGAGAGGTAGAGTATTTGAAGAGAAGTAGGAACATGATCTGTGAATAAAATAATCAACATTAACACCATCCACAAACATAGTGATAAGACATATGACTTTTATGTGAAACTATTATATTAGCCTTAACAGTCAGCAATAGTGGGAATTTTTCTTTAAGTCACATAGGTCCTGCATCGTGGAAATCCTTTGGCTACACAAAGACAGCAATGGACACCTTCCAGCTAACGGAGCACTGCCTTTTGTAGGTTTTGGTTTAACCAAAGAACATAGTCTATTGTTGGACAAAGATCTCCCCAAGGATTTCCATAACGAGCGTTCACATACAGGTGCATTTCGCGCATCGCGATCGTCGCCTAAGCAAGTGGGCGGCCAGCCTTAAAATGGTTAACACTTTATAAATAAGACAAGACTACCTTGATTGACAAAGTGACCGACATAGCTCGCAGAATTGCTAAAATCAATTGGCAGTGGGTGGGGCACATAGCTCGTAGAGACGATGGCCGTTGGGGCAGGAAAGTTCTCGAGTGGCGACCACGGGCTGAAAGACGTAGCGTGGGCAGGCCTCCTACTAGGTGGACCGACGATCTGGTAAAGGTCGCGGGAAGAAAAGAGGATTTAGGACGCTATTTGGATCAAATATGTAATTGCTCAATAATGAATAATAAATAAATAAATAAGAGCCTGGATGCGGGCAGCGCAGGACCGTGCATTGTGGAAAACCTTGGAGGAGGCCTTTGTCCAGCAGTGGACGTCATTTGGCTGAAACGAACGAACGAACGAACGAACTAACTTGATGTCAACGTCATAGACGTAGCTTTGCAAGGCGAGCGGCAAGGCGGCCGGCTCGCTTCGTAGTAGAGTAGACACGCGGCCACCGCCCGCAGTTAAAGCGCGTTGTCGTAAGCCTTCCTTGGCACACTTCACAGATTCCGCCACTTCTGATAGCGTCTGTAACAATAATAGACTTAAAAATAAAATAAAAAACAAATGAGTAGAAGGAACTAACATCTATTCCTTTTGCGTTTTGCACCGACGACATCGTAAAGGTAGCAGGGAAGCGCTGGACGCAGGCCGCTACCAATCGATCAACGTGGAAAGCATTAGGGGAGGCCTATGTTCGGCAGTGGACGTCCTATGGCTGAAATGATGAACATCTATTCGCACTGAGGTGAGTATTTATGAACAAAAGTCGAGTGCGTCCGACTGTGATATTTATTAAGTCTAGAAACTTTATTATCACGAAATAAAAAGAATGCCGGCAAGGGTCTGCGCGTATTTTTACTAATGTTATAAATCCAAAATCATCTTTAACACAATACATTAGGGTTTATTTTGCTATGACCTAATATAGGATACGTTTGTACCTACATGCCAGGTGTGTTCAATGAAATGATGTTGTCTATAATAATAAATTAATAATAAATTTATTTTCGTAACTTAGTCTAATAATATACAGATAATGGTAGGAACTTCCCTTTAGGCAAGACATTGCCTGTGTTGGGAAGAACCGCTCCTCTTCACAATTATTCACTTAACTAGTAAACTAAGTTAATGTAAATCCATATAATATGCGCTACATGCGCTACGTTTGATGCAACAGTTAATTTATTTATTTCCATTATAAGTACCACGCTCGTGTGTGTGTGTGCGTGTGCGTGCGTGTGTGGGTGTGCGTGTGCGTGTGTGGGTGTGCGTGTGTGTGTGTGTGTGTGTGTGTGTGTGTGTGTGTGTGTGTGTGTGTGTGTGTGTGTGTGTGTGTGTGTGTGACGTATAGCTAGACCTACTTATGTTATAAGTACTAAAGTTTGTATGTATGGGTGTTTGGATGATAACATATTATTATAATAGTTATGTTTGTTACTCTTCCACGCAAAATCCACTGAACGGATTTAGTATTACTAGTATTTTATAAATATTTCAGTATTATCAATTCGATCTCGTTGTAGGTCCTTGGTTTGATCCATTCGATAAGTACTTCCTTACAGTTGTGTATATTTAGTGGGTATATATTAAGACATTTGTTTAGCCTATTATAAATTGTAGCAGACTGCATGTGGTATTGCCGTCTAGCGAAGTCCGATTTTACGGCGGGAATTATGGCAACTTTATCCTTTCGCCTACCGGTCAGCAGACTGTCATCAAAGGGTAGGAGTTTGTGCATTTTAAGAACTATATTTGTTACGTAAAGTTTTCTAACCGATAGAAGGTCGGCCTCTACATAAAGATTATCAGTGGGGTATCTGTATGGTTTAAACAACATGACTTTTATAAGGGACCTTTGAGCCCGCTCCAGACTTAGGAAGATAGTTTTAGTGGCCGAACCCCATACTGATATGCAGTATACCAATACCGATTGGGCTAAGGCAATATATGTCTGGGTCAGTAATTCTTTGTTCGCGACATGACGCAGGTTTTTGAAAGTCCAGATTAGCCTTCTCACTCTTTTCACAGTCAGTTCTACATGTTGGTGCCAGGAAAGACGCTGATCGAGGAGGACTCCGAGGTATTTAACGTAAGAAACTTTATCTATTCCAGAACATGGGCAGTTAGTGACCGATGGATTGCCGCACTTGTGAATTTTTAAATTAAAATTTAGAGGAGGTTGGGATCTGATGTTTTTACTGAAACAAACATAGTGAGTCTTGGATGTGTTCAGAGTAAGAAGGCTTGCATCCAACCATGCTGCCACACTGGCCATCCCCAATTCCGCCAGTTTCCTCACTTCGGACCAAGATTTGCCGGAGAACAGAATTGCTGTGTCGTCTGCGTAAGAAAACACAGAACCCTTAGGAATGTTTCTCTGACAGAGGTTATTTAGATATATCAGGAAAAGGGTTGGTCCCAGAACGCTCCCTTGTGGGACTCCGTATGTTACAGTGGCTTCCCGACTAATGTGGTTGCCCATTCGAACTCGCTGTTGTCGGTTAGATAGGTAATCCTTAAACAGTTTAAGAGGCGTTCCTCTCACCCCCACCTCGTCCAGTCTGGTTAGCAGAATGGGTATCGAGACTGAGTCGAACGCCTTCTTTAGGTCAAGGAATACTACCAGACACCTGTCTCCAGAGTCCACTTTTTGTGTTATAAGAGTTGTAAGGGCCACTACGGCGTCTTCTGTTGATAACCCGCGTTGGAAGCCAAATTGGTTTTTTGCAATAATGTCATATTTCGATAAAAAATTGATTAGTCTCTTATTGATTAATTTTTCCAAAAGTTTAGACATTGATGATAGAACAGAGATCGGTCGGTAGTTACACGGATCACTTTTGTCGCCATCTTTGTAAATAGGTGTTATCAAGGCTTGCTTGAAAACGGTTGGGAAAATTCCTTGTGCGAAGCACAAGTTAGATAAGTGAGAAATAATTGGAGCAATTTCATTGTTAGCTATTTTTAGGAAGGCAGTTGGGATGTTATCCCATCCTGGGGAGCTGTTTAATTTCATAGACTTAATTACTTCGTGTACTTCGGCACAGTCAGTATCGTAAAAAACAAATGATGATACCTGTTTTTTGGTTGTGTTGTTGTGCACCGGGTGAGAGTCAGAAGTACCTGAGATTTTTTCTGCTAACTCTTTGCCAATGTTCGTAAAATAGGTGTTAGTTAAATCTACCGAGTCTTGAGGAGACGAGGTAGCGTGCAGTAGTTCGAGATTTTGGGCTTTAGGGGGCTTTCGTTGGGTTATTTCGTTTATGGTGTCCCAAAGCTTTTTCGGGTTTTTATGAGCTTTAAAAAGTTGGTCTCGGTCGTAATTCCTTTTTAGTTTCTTTAATAAGCAGTTANTAAGACATTTGTTTAGCCTATTATAAATTGTAGCAGACTGCATGTGGTATTGCCGTCTAGCGAAGTCCGATTTTACGGCGGGAATTATGGCAACTTTATCCTTTCGCCTACCGGTCAGCAGACTGTCATCAAAGGGTAGGAGTTTGTGCATTTTAAGAACTATATTTGTTACGTAAAGTTTTCTAACCGATAGAAGGTCGGCCTCTACATAAAGATTATCAGTGGGGTATCTGTATGGTTTAAACAACATGACTTTTATAAGGGACCTTTGAGCCCGCTCCAGACTTAGGAAGATAGTTTTAGTGGCCGAACCCCATACTGATATGCAGTATACCAATACCGATTGGGCTAAGGCAATATATGTCTGGGTCAGTAATTCTTTGTTCGCGACATGACGCAGGTTTTTGAAAGTCCAGATTAGCCTTCTCACTCTTTTCACAGTCAGTTCTACATGTTGGTGCCAGGAAAGACGCTGATCGAGGAGGACTCCGAGGTATTTAACGTAAGAAACTTTATCTATTCCAGAACATGGGCAGTTAGTGACCGATGGATTGCCGCACTTGTGAATTTTTAAATTAAAATTTAGAGGAGGTTGGGATCTGATGTTTTTACTGAAACAAACATAGTGAGTCTTGGATGTGTTCAGAGTAAGAAGGCTTGCATCCAACCATGCTGCCACACTGGCCATCCCCAATTCCGCCAGTTTCCTCACTTCGGACCAAGATTTGCCGGAGAACAGAATTGCTGTGTCGTCTGCGTAAGAAAACACAGAACCCTTAGGAATGTTTCTCTGACAGAGGTTATTTAGATATATCAGGAAAAGGGTTGGTCCCAGAACGCTCCCTTGTGGGACTCCGTATGTTACAGTGGCTTCCCGACTAATGTGGTTGCCCATTCGAACTCGCTGTTGTCGGTTAGATAGGTAATCCTTAAACAGTTTAAGAGGCGTTCCTCTCACCCCCACCTCGTCCAGTCTGGTTAGCAGAATGGGTATCGAGACTGAGTCGAACGCCTTCTTTAGGTCAAGGAATAATACCAGACACCTGTCTCCAGAGTCCACTTTTTGTGTTATAAGAGTTGTAAGGGCCACTACGGCGTCTTCTGTTGATAACCCGCGTTGGAAGCCAAATTGGTTTTTTGCAATAATGTCATATTTCGATAAAAAATTGATTAGTCTCTTATTGATTAATTTTTCCAAAAGTTTAGACATTGATGATAGAACAGAGATCGGTCGGTAGTTACACGGATCACTTTTGTCGCCATCTTTGTAAATAGGTGTTATCAAGGCTTGCTTGAAAACGGTTGGGAAAATTCCTTGTGCGAAGCACAAGTTAGATAAGTGAGAAATAATTGGAGCAATTTCATTGTTAGCTATTTTTAGGAAGGCAGTTGGGATGTTATCCCATCCTGGGGAGCTGTTTAATTTCATAGACTTAATTACTTCGTGTACTTCGGCACAGTCAGTATCGTAAAAAACAAATGATGATACCTGTTTTTTGGTTGTGTTGTTGTGCACCGGGTGAGAGTCAGAAGTACCTGAGATTTTTTCTGCTAACTCTTTGCCAATGTTCGTAAAATAGGTGTTAGTTAAATCTACCGAGTCTTGAGGAGACGAGGTAGCGTGCAGTAGTTCGAGATTTTGGGCTTTAGGGGGCTTTCGTTGGGTTATTTCGTTTATGGTGTCCCAAAGCTTTTTCGGGTTTTTATGAGCTTTAAAAAGTTGGTCTCGGTCGTAATTCCTTTTTAGTTTCTTTAATAAGCAGTTACAGTAGTTACGGTACCTTTTGTATGTAATTCTCAAAATCTCGTTATGTGGGTCAAGTTTTAGGTTTTTTTGCATGTTGTTTCTGTTTCTGATGCAGCGTAGCATACCTTGGGTAATCCACGGTTTTAGAATTCTTTTATTCGCTGGGATATAAATGACAGTCGTATTCTCATTTAAGCTTTGTTGCAGTTTGTTTATCAATAGTTCGGTTATGATGTTAGGGTCATTATATTCGAGTAGGTCGGTTAGTCTGGTTGTTTTTAGATAGTCTAGTGCTCTGCTATAGTTAATTTTGGTTTTAGTTTTGCTATTTGTTGTTGACTTTTCTGGGCACGATATTTTTAGAAAAATCGCACTATGATCAGTGACAGTGGTATCCAGTACAGCAATAGTGGCATTTTTGTGTGTATGGTCGAGTTTTATCATAATATGGTCAAGGCAGCTTGAGCCTCTTGTCGGGATAGAGTGGCCTGGATAGAAACCCTGTGAGGCTAACATTTCTAGGTAAGTGTGTCTATTGCTGCGATCATAGGAGTGTTCGTCTTGCCTGTAGATGAGATTTATATTTATGTCTCCGGTTATGATGACATTTTTGGATCCTTTAATGAGTTCCAGATGAGAACATAAAGAATCAATAAATAGCTGAGCATTACGATTAGATGGTGAACGATAGATACCAAGAATGGTCAGCTGAGGCATAGAAATCTGCAAGCATGATGCATGTCTTAGGTATACTTCCGATACGTTTGCTGCGAGTGTGGATTTAGTATAGACGACTACTCCGTCGGATTGATTTTGGTGTTTGCAAGTTTGATGAGAATTATAACCTATAATCTGTGGGATATTTTTGTCAGGGTTTAATTTACATTCGCTTAGGATTAGAATATCAATAGTGAGATCAAGAATACGAAGGTTTGCTTGAAAGTCGTTAAAGTTAGCGTAGATACTTCTGATATTTTGGGATATTAATGTTAGGTCAGTTTTTTGTACTGTGATAGTATTTTTGAGTTCTCCGATTTTACAATTAAAGTTTAAATACATATTAGAGTCATCTAATGCATTTATGTTTTTAAGAACGTTAATATTCATGTTTTGTTTTATAATTTTTATATTCGATAGCATTATGGGGCGATAAGAAGTAACTGCAACAATGTGAGTCTATGCTGTAAAAACAAAGGTTACAAGTATAGCATAACGGTAGCTGCGGTATTGTTTGTTGTGGTCTGTTTGAGTGTTGGGTGTAATGATGTGTACTTAGAGTAGGTTTAGATAGTATTTTTTGTATGTGCATGTAAATTGTGTAGGTTGATTTTGTGGTTTTGTAATGATAAAGATGTTGGTGGTTGTCATGTAGGAGATAGGATTTATTGTAGGTGAGTTGTATTAGTGTACGAGCAGTGGACAAAACAGTAAAACTTACTATAGATAAAAGTGAATACATCCAGTTGGTTATTATATTTAGTCATTTTGCCAGTAACAGGTTTTGTACCTGTTGTTCACTTCTCACCAGGATTACTGGCGTGTCTTCACTCCTTCTGATGTAAACTCGGCCATGGGACGTCCAGCAATATTTGTAATCTGTCGATTTTATCAGGTCTCGAGCGACAAAGTGAAGTCGGGCTGCCTTGGCGGTCAGTTGCTCAGAGACGTATATTGGCGTCTACTCATTTTTTGTGTGACCCAAGTGCCTGGCGCAGAGTTTCTCCTTGTGCCTAATGTTATATGTCTTCACTGACTTTAAAAAGTCCTTCTTTAGGATGGTAGACGATAGTTCTACTACAATTGGGCCATTGTTCTCCACTTTTTTATTTTTCAGCCTGTAGATATCTTTCAATAAAACAAATATTTGCAAAAACGTGTCAACATTGGCCAAGAAATCATCTTATACAACAGCTGCTGCCGGACCAATGCAGGCTGCATTATGCAGCATGCAGGTTATGAATCCAAAATCGTCCTTAATTTTCTTAAGATAAGGTTTATTTTGCTAAGACCACACATTCCAAATGTCCCAACATATTACCTTAACCAACAGCTGCTGCCTGACCAATGTGGCGTGTAAGTTCTCGCCGCAGATAGCGAGTAGCGCTCGCAACATGAGCCGGTGGCGCCACGCGGCTGTGACGTAAGCGTCCACTTCGGGCGGCTCATCCGCGTTTTCTTCTAGCGTAATGCCCACTCACCTTAGCCAAAAGCCTGGCCAGTGTAGCGTGCAGGTTATGAATCCAAATTCGTCCTTAATTTTCTTTAGATAAAGTATATTTTGCGATGACCAAACACTGCAGATGTCCCAACATATTACCTTAACCAACAGCTGCTGCCTGACCAATGTGGCGTGTAAGTTCTCGCCGCAGATAGCGAGTAGCGCTCGCAGCATGAGCCGGTAGCGCCACGCGGCTGTGACGTAAGCGTCCACTTCGGGCGGCTCACCCGCGTTCTTTTGTCCTTAGTGTGATATCCACTTACCTTGACCAAAAGCTACTGCCTGACCAGTGTAGCGTGCAGGTTATGAATCCAAAATAGTCCTTAGTTTTCTTTGGATAAAGTATATTTTGCGATGACCAAACACTGCAGATGCCCCAATATTACCTTAACCAACAGCTGCTGCCTGACCAATGTGGCGTGTAAGTTCTCCCCGCAGATAGCGAGTAGCGCTCGCAACATGAGCCGGTAGCGCCACGCGGCGTGCAGGTTATGTTACCAAAATCATCCTTAATTTTCTTTAGATAAGGTATATTTTGCTATAACCAAACACTGCAGATGTCCCAACATATTACCTTAACCAAAAGTTGCTGTCGAACTAATGTCGCGTGCAAGTTCTCCCCGCAGATAGCGAGTAGCGCTCGCAACATGAGCCGGTAGCGCCACGCGGCTGTGACGTAAGCGTCCACTTCGGGAGGCTCACCCGCGTTCTTTTGTCCTTAGTGTGATATCCACTTACCTTGACCAAAAGCTACTGCCTGACCAGTGTAGCGTGCAGGTTATGAATCCAAAATCGTCCTTAGTTTTCTTTAGATAAGGTATATTTTGCTATGACCAAACATTGCAAATGAGCCGACATATTACCTTAACCAACAGCTGCTGTCGAACTAATGTCACGTGCAGGTTCTCGCCGCAGAAAGCGACTTTCCCCCGGGACAAACTTGATATTGGTTGGGTTTTTATTGGCGGTCAAGCTGTAGATCCTGGCTACACAGGAGTTGCAGCGGTGGGAACGAGAGGTGGGAATAGACCCGTTATCTCACCTTAACCAACAACTGCTGCCGAACCAATGTGGTGTGTAAGTTCTCCCCGCAGAAAGCGACTTTCCCCCAGGACAAACTTGACCTTGGTTGGGTTTTTATTGGCGGTCAAGCTGTAGATCCTGGCTACACAGGAGTTGCAGCGGTGGGAACGAGAGGTGGGAATAGTCCCGTTATCTCACCTTAACCAACAGCTGTTGCCTGACCAATGTGGCGTGTAAGTTCTCCCCGCAAATAGCGAGTAGCGCTCTCAACATGAGCCGGTAGCGCCACGCGGCTGTGACGTAAGCGTCCACTTCGGGCGGCTCGCCCGCGTTCTTTTGTCCTTAGTGTGATATCCACTTACCTTGACCAAAAACTACTGCCTGACCAGTGTAGCGTGCAGGTAATGAATCCAAAATTATCCTTAGTTTTCTTTGGATAAAGTATATTTTGCGATGACCAAACACTGCAGATGTCCCAACATTACCTTAACCAACAGCTGCTGTCGAACTAATGTCACGTGCAGGTTCTCGCCGCAGAAAGCGACTTTCCCCCGGGACAAACTTGATATTGGTTGGGTTTTTATTGGCGGTCAAGCTGTAGATCCTGGCTACACAGGAGTTGCAGCGGTGGGAACGAGAGGTGGGAATAGACCCGTTATCTCACCTTAACCAACAGCTGCTGCCTGACCAATGTGGCGTGTAAGTTCTCGCCGCAGATAGCGAGTAGCGCTCGCAGCATGAGCCGGTAGCGCCACGCGGCTGTGACGTAAGCGTCCACTTCGGGAGGCTCACCCGCGTTCTCTTCTAGCGTGATACCAAGGAATTCTTCGTTTGGTGCCTGTTTGATGTATAAAGAAGTTTAAGGTTAAATTAAACTGCACACAAAAGCATACGTTGTTACATGAATAACTTGTTAAATAAAACTGTTAGCTAGAATTTCTCTTTTGATGATTCGCTATCCAATGAAATTTTTAATTTCGTAGTCATCTTCGTTACGATTTAAAGAGTTGTATAGTATAATTGGTATTTTCCTCATTATCAACAAGATACTAACGCACACTTTGTCTAAAAAGATATGTGACATCGTGGTTCCATATAAGAATTTATACATAAGAATCATTATGTCTTTACCTGAGGCACATTCGGTAATGAGTGAACTAAAAGCCAGAACAGTTTATGTGCCACAGCGGGAGCGGACAGGGCGCGTGACAGTAAGAGCTCTGAAACAAATAAAATTAACTCCTTGAAGTATTAATTGCGTTTTAAAAACGTTATGCAATAAACAATAGTAAGCAAACAATCAAAATTTAACTTTATTGCTGTGTAAATACAGTACGAAATTGATTGCACCAATCATTCGTGGTTCGAAACGGACTACTATTCCGGAGGTAGCGGGTTCGATTCCCGCACAGTACAAACATTTGTGTGCATGAACATATTTGTTTGTATTGGACTGGGTGTTTTCTATGTATAATAAGTATGTATTTACAAAAAAAAAGTATTTAAGTATGTTTATATCCGTTGTCTAGTACCCATAGTACAAGCTTTGCTTAGTTTGGGACTAGAAGCGCAGTGTAAATGTCCAAGGATATTTATTTATTTATTTATTTATTTACCTGCTAAAGGACTACACTCGTAGGTCTCGTGGCGCAAAGCTTGCGTGAGTTGCGGCAACACTCGACACAGATCGTCGTCTGACATATCGTTCAGAAGACGCGCTGCTGTTTGACGCACTGCGGCATCGGGGAAACTAGAATCATAGACAAATGAAACAAATTATAGTCAAACATAACACTACTTATAAGTAGGTAGTTTTCTATATGATTTTAAGAATCGTAGGAAGAAAACTAGTGATTGATGATTTTACATCATGTGTGTCGTCAAAACAGCATGCGAAAACCTAGACTTTTTTAATAGCGAAAAAGCGAAAAGAAATCTGCAAAATAGATTGATCATGCTCAACCCTATTCTTGAAGAACCAAAACTCTGTTTACAAAGAACCCAAATTCATCAATTATCTACCTTCATGTTTCAAATATCGTATATACATAACAGTCTACTTACCAAGGCAGCAGCAAATGCATGGAGTTGAGCGGCGAAGGTTTCTGCCACAGCTTCAACAGTGAGATGAGGTGTGCACGATGCTCGCCGTACCAGTTCGTGGCTGCTAAAAGTACCAGGGGCAAAGCGCCTGGTAGTTCAACCAGATATTGTCGCTTCTCCCACATTATCTGACAAAATGGTATTATAACATTATTTACACTCGCATCGAAAGGGGTGACATATGACGTAACAGAGCATACAAGTCTGAAGCACATCTGAAGTCTCACTGACGTTGGGCGTAACAAAAATGAAGGTACAATCCAAACGAAGTATTGTTTAATCTTAATCCAAGTTTTGGTACCTGTATGTAACTAAGTTGTAATGTTTTGGATCTAGTAAAAATATCTTTCTATACGATCTTAGCTCCCTGCCTTCGTTAGGCATTCTCTGGTAAGCGCCCTATTCTATCTAGGCAGGACTAAGATGTGCGCCGTGATAACTCTTATCGATCATTTTAGATGACAAACGTATGGGCTTATCGCGAAAAATCGATAAAGTAGCGTGAGCGTGTAGTTCTCTTTGGGTGACCACTTGAAGCTGTTGTGTACGTAGCAGGATTATAGTATATGTTATCTCACCTCTCTGCCTTCAGTAGGCATCCTCTGGTAAGCGCCCTGCTCGATTAGATGCAACAGCTGCGATTGCGTGTGTCCGTCCAGGGAATCAAACGCGGGTAAATCGGACGGCGTCAACGTGCGGCTCTCCTCTGGCGACCACTTGATACCATTGTGCACGTAGCGAGGTATTTCTGTAATAATATGAAGAAAAGGTAAGTTATCCTAAAGGATACGTATGTGTGCTCGCTCCAGAATTGCCCACGTCATATGACAACGAAAAAAAGCACAGCATACGGTCGGAAAAGTTGTTGAAAGAGAATCTGAAAATTAGTCGGTAAATCGGCTTTTACGACATCAAAAAGAAGAATGGGGTGGTTCTATTCTGCAATACAGATTAATTAATGGACTAAGCATAATAAAGTTGATTGGAATTTAATTTTGATATATGATTTACTAGTTTTTTCCCGAGGCATAGCCTGCGTGAATGGCGATATGTCCCACAAAGACTTTCTTATTCTTTAGATGTCTTTCCCTATAACTATTTCTATACCAAATTTCATTTAAATTGTGGTTTAAGTGTGAAAAGATAACGAAGAGACAGAGAGGGTTATTTTTCGTTTATAATATTAAGATATTATTAATTATATCTCACCAATATTGACGACGGGGTATGGCGCGGGCGGCGTGTTCATGAGGTGCGGCGCGGGCCCGATGCGCCGGTCGCAACACACCGGCCACATCGGAAGCACGTAGTTACCCGATGCTAGGATCCTGGAAGAAACAAATCCGTTAAAAAAACTTAAAACTCATTAAAACTCATTTATTTCTGTAAATAGGCTTAAAAAAAAGCACTTTTACACGTCCCAGTATTAACCCTACCACTGCTTCAGGACAATAAATGGGCCAGTGCTGATAAGAAGAAGCAGCGCAAGAAACTCAGTCACTATTGTCAGCCTCTTTTTCAAAGGTTTACATGCTTTAAAATGTACAAAGTTATAAATATTTATGCGAGCTAGGCAGTAACGTATCCCAAACATTTTTATCTTTTAAATAATCATCGACTTTATAGTAGCCCTTTTTCATTAAGGTACTTTTAATATGTGCTTTGAATTTATGAATGGGTAGTTCTACAATAGTTTGTGGTAATTTATTAAAGAATTTAATACATTTATGACTATATCTACTATTTAAGAGACGCTTCTATTGTCCGAGTAGTAATAATAAACTCCGCCCTCTTAGACAAAGTCACATTTCGTCAGCGTTACAATACCACGTTAATCTAAAATTTGTCAGGTGACATTTAACACAAACTGTAAGGAGATAAAGTTCAAAATGGCACGCGGGGTTAATGGTTCAAAGAGTCATACGGTTACTCTATCAGTGAAGATTTGGAACAGTTTAGCTCCGGCATCTTTTGGTTTTGCTTCCCTCCGTGTAACGATTCCAAAATTATATCACGTTATTTTGTGTAGGGAGGCTGGTGTTAAGACTTTAAGCTGCCATATACTTATCTGCTATAGAATAGACGCGACGGTTCCACATACCTTCCAGAACAAATATAATATTAAATGAACTAAAATGAGAAAAGATGTCCGCACAGTTTATGACAATTTTCCGGTTGCAGTTTGCACTAATGCTATTTTTGAATATGAACAATAACACGTACCCGTCATAGTCAAACAGCTGTATTGCGGCCCATCCCAGCTCCTCTTGGTCGTACATGACGTCATGCTCTTCAGAATCGGTTCCATTCTGCTGGCTGTCGCTTGGCTGCTGATCCGGCGGCCGTTTAGTTCGCCCGTAAAGGGTAAGAACTAGTCGCGCCTCTCGGGGAACGTTTGATAAAGGCAGGTCTGCTAGATTCAACCTTAAAACAATTTTTGAATTGATTATTAAAAATTCGTTTGCAAGGTGACAAAGATACTCAATACTCAATTGATTATTGCATAACATTAGCACATTCACATTAGGTCTTACAATTTAGGCAGATTTTAAAAGCAATTATGTAGTAGTTTTTCTTGTGACACATGAGCCTCGATATTGTTATTCAGACACGTACAAAATATATTGGTTTATTGGTAAAAATAAATGGTCAATTACGCTGGCCAGACTGATAGGGGAGTCTTTATGTTCGCACATTTCTTCCTTAATCCTCTTCTGACATCCACGGGTAGTGTGTACTTCTTCTTCGTCGCTACACTCTTGCCAGAGTGGTCGTGGTCGTCACACCAGGTCCGGTAGTGTGTAAGTTACTATTTAATTTTACGCTGCAGGAACCGCACGGCTAATATCTAAAGCATATTAACAATCAACTTACCACGTATCAAAAATAATCCTAGGGTAGAATCCTCCGCATTCAATCTTCGAGGACTGCGTAAGGTGTATGGCCTTCAGTGGTCGCGTGCCGTGGTACACTTGCGCGTGAAACAGATACTCGTCGTGCGCCCAACACGGCGGTAGACAGTGCACAGCCTCGATGCAGAATAGCGTCGTCTCCGTTATAGTGTGCGCTGGGACTGCTTCTGCAAAGTGGGCGGGAAGGGGTCAGGAAATAGTGGTTTCAAAAATGCTTAGGGCTGCGATTACTTTAGGAATTTATCGTGTTGTTGCACATGACACACTTTAGGGGATCATCTTGATCTTACAATTAATAGCGAAGAAATATTGATTGCCATATTATGCAAAGTTCAAATGTCGAGAATGCAGACAAGAGATTGTACGTACTGCCCCATAATATCCCACGAGCTAGTTGCATGTGTTAGATTAATTATATTATGTACATACCTGATTGATATTAATATTTCATGTGACCTTTATTTAATATTAGTAACTACACTATTTATTAACTTTCTATAACATCACACACACCAAGTATCAAACAGCCGCCATATTAACTGTCAGATAAAATTAAGACTTCCGTTTGCAAATAAGAATTTATTGTAAGATTTCCGGCTTCTGAATAGTGGTTATTAATGTTTCTTAAATATAATTAAATTGATAAATTAATAAGCCAACTGGCTAATATTCAATCAAAAATAAATCTGGGTCCGTTTTAATATTATTAGTTATAATATATTCGAACTTCCTGTTTATAGAATTTATTGTAAGATTTCCAGCTTTTGGATAATAATTATTAATATTTCTTAAATATTATTAAAAGTATAATTAATAAGCCAACATACTATCTTTTGATCAAAAACAAATATTGTAAAATGAGAAATTCCAACTTCCGGGTCCGTTTAAATATTATCTAACTTCCTGTTTTCTGATTGGTCGTCTTAAGTGACCAATCAGAGTTGAGTAGAGGAAAGGTAGGAGTATGGGTATAAATATATGGAATTCCTCGTTGAATTAGGCAGGCTCGATGGATCTTTGAGGTGATGCTGACCAAAGTTAAGTGTACATTGTTGTGCTTGTTGTGTTATTGTATTGTATTATTGTGATATTGTATTAACACCTGGCTATGTGGCTGCGCCAGGGCTATTATTTTGACACCTGGCCAATTGATGGTGACATGCCACGGGGTCGGGTCGGTAGTTTGTTGACCAGTATAAAGAAGGACAATGCTAATAGTTGCTGGTTATGTTATGGTACAAAACCTAAGTCCTAACCTAACCTAAATCTAACTCTTGACCTAACCAAAACCTAAGTCTTAACGTAACTTAACTTAGAACTTGTGTTCTGTGTGTTTGATTATAAATACTGGATACAAAATACCGTCAAAATGTTAATAATAAATAAGACTTAATTACTGCTAGATTATTCATTTTTATGTAAGTTATAAATTGTTGTATCTGGTTGGAAAAGAGGCTGACAAAGGTGACTGAGTTTCTTCCGCCACTTCTTCTCAGCACCAGCCCATGATGTCCCGAAGTGGTGGTAGGGCAAGCTATATTTGGGACGTGTATAAATGCCCTGGAAAAGGGATTTATACTGAATAAACTATTTGAATTTGAAATTGGATTTTTAATTTGGAACTTATTAAATTACAGTATTATAGTCCTATATATTTCCATGGTATAATACGATATGATAGGAATATAGCATAAAGTATTTATGCTAGATTTTGCTTACTATTATTCTTCTTTTTGTGGTAACTTTATTAATTAAAGAATCTGCTTTAATACATTAATATTTCCTAATTTAGAAATGACTAATGCCCAAAAATCTAACACATGCAATCGAACCGAGGCAAGGTAGTTCCCTCATGCAATATTTGAATGATGACGCGGCACGTACACGTCATTGGATCGTGAGCCTAATTTCTCGCACGATTGAAGAAGTCTCAAGTATCAAGATTCAGCGGACACATGCATACCTGAGTAGGTACTAACTCACTGGCTGAGTTCTGCAGCAGATACTGGGCGTCTGTCATCTGGAAGTCCAGAAGTCTAGCGCGCGTGTATAGTGCTAAAGCCTGGTCCGTGAGCACGTAGAATTTTGTCCAATGACCCCAAGCTACCCATCCTTATCGCTCGCTCGTAATTATGTTGCTGTCGCGCTTGCACACTCACTGCGGGCGCCCTAGCTTGGGGTCATTGGACAAAATTCTACGTGCTCACGGACCAGGCTTTATAAGGGCGCACGACGTCTCTGTGGAGACTCTCGTCTTGAGCGCTGTCTCAAGTATCAAGGTGCAGCAGACACATGCATACCTGAGTAAGTGAGTACCTACTCACTAGCCGAGTTCTGTAGCAGAATCTGGGCGTCTGTCATCTGGAAGTATATATAATAACGCTTGTACGACGTCTCTGTGGAGACACTCGCCTCGAGAACTATTTCAAGTATCAAGATGCAGCAGACACATGCATACCTGAGTACTCACTAGCCGAGTTCTGTAGTAGATACTGGGCGTCTGTCATCTGGAAGTCCAGCAGTCGAGTGCGCGTGTATAATGCTAATAACGCTTGTACGACGTCTCTGTGGAGACATACGCTTGAGCGCTGTCCAAGTATCAAGATGCAGCAGACACATGCATACCTGAGTACTCACTAGCCGAGTTCTGTAGTAGATACTGGGCGTCTGTCATCTGGAAGTCCAGCAGTCTAGCGCGCGTGTATAATGCTAGTAACGCGCGTATGGCCTCCGTGGAGACTCGCCTCGAGCGCTATTTCAAGTATCAAGATGCAGCAGACACATGCATACCTGAGTACTCACTAGCCGAGTTCTGCAGCAGATACTGGGCGTCTGTCATCTGGAAGTCCAGCAGTCTAGCTCTAGCGCGCGTGTATAATGCTAATAACGCTCACTTGGTGTCTCTGGGGAGACACATGTTAGTAGCGCACACGGCGTCTCTTTTGAGACACTCGACTTGAGCGCTGTTCAAGTATCAAGATGCAGCAGACACATGCATACCTGAGTACTCACTAGCCGAGTTCTGTAGCAGATACTGGGCGTCTGTCATTTGGAAGTCCAGCAGTCTAGCGCGCGTGTATAACGCTAGTAGCGCTCGCACGGCGTCTCTGAGTCGCGCACTTTGTAAAGCCACATTCTCCCGGGCGGTGGCGGCTCGCAGATTGACGGCGCAGTATGGCCCACTGTCCGCTTGGATCTCGGGAGTCATTGAGTTGTTGTTTCCCTGAAGAAAAATAAAATAAAAGTTAGGATGTAGAAATAGACAGATCATCAAGTTGTTCACTATTACTGCAAACATAGTTCGCATATAGAATGCATTTAAAATCAGTGATTGTTGTTCGTCAAAATAATAGAAAAAAATTACAACCTTCCCGTGAATATCGTTAGAGACTCGCCAACCCGTCTGACAAATGTTCCATTTGCCTCTGGTAAATTAGAGAGGGTTGTCCTCCAGTGGAGACCAAATGACCTGATGACGATGATGAATAGAAAATAATAAAACTCACCTGAGCAGTACAAGCCTGCGCGAACGCATTCAAAGTGTTCGTAACATGTAGCGTTTCCACGCCGCCGGCGAGCGCGCAAATCGCTTTCACGGCTTGGAACACAGCTTTTGGCGAGCACACACCTTCTGCGCCCGTCACGCCCACCGCGCGTGATAACTCGCCTTCTAAGGTTTCTGGGGACGTAACAATGAGTTGAGAAAATACGACTCTCCCATAGATTTCTAGATTCTCATCCTAGACTGCATCTCACTTAACATCAGGTGCGATTGCAGTCAAATACCTGCCTTAGTCTGCATAAAAAAAAAAACATTTTTTTTATGCTAAACACGGCAGGATATAGCAAATCTGAGCTATGATGAGGCCAGCGTTACTTTGCACATTTCTGCCAACTCGGTTGACTATTTCTTGATTTCAAAGATAATAAAAACAAATTATCTATACAGCAAATTGAAAACTAACTCAATTTTCAGGGCTAGAAAGTGTTTCTTAAAGAATTTATCTTGGAATTATTATTAAGTTATGATGGCGCTTTAGAAGGGCTGTGCTTATTTATTGATATATTCTCTCTCTATACGTATTAATTGTGTATGTGTATCATATTCTTTTATGAGCACTTACCTAATAAAATCGACAGATTGTCAAATGACAACATAGGCGTAGCGCCTTGCGTGGGCAACAAATCGTCCAGCGTCAGATGCGAATCCCTCGCGTCATCTCTTTCACTCCTCGCCAGAGCATCGTCCACGCCCTCGTGTAGACACAGCCTTACATCCTTCTCTAGCCTAACGCATTCGCGCACGTAATCGTATTCGCTAAGAGAACTGCCTGGTGTGAGGTATTCTTTAGCTCCCCATACCTAGAAAAATAAAAATACAAGAAACATAATCGAATGATTCGTTTCCGATTGAATCGATATAAATAGATATGATCATCTTACCCGTAACATATAACCAGACATATCTTCTCTGATATCCTCCTCGAGGGAACAAACTACAGTTAATATCACATGTTCTACTGTTGACTCCACTGAAAAAAGAAATACACATAGTTAAATCGCTGGAAGAAGTCGTGCCTAACTCTTAGAACACGGTTGACGAATTACAATGAGAAAATGCTACAATTAGCGTTTTATTTAATTGTAATAGATGCTATTTTTAAATAAATTGATCACAAAACATGAACATACCATCAGACGTAAAGGTAATGGGCTCATCGGAGTGAGCGTGGTGGACTAGAATCTTTATGCTAGTGTTGGGCGGGTACTTTCCGCCCGAACGCGCCGCGATCACGTGACCCGGATTCGTTTTGCGGTCCGAATGCACGAATCTTTCTGCAAATTTCAATTCAGTCATTGTTAGAGAAAGTACTAGAAGACAAAGAGAATATAAGATCGGTTAATATTAACACAGTGCGTAATCGGATCACAATAAGGGTTTTCGCGTATGAAAAATCCGCCAGATGGCAATACGTAGACGCGAGGTCCAAATGCTGCATGATTGGTTATTTTTGACATGACATTGACAGATGTCAAAATCCACCAATCACGCAGCAGTCAGACAAACATCCACGTCCCGCCATCTAGCGGATCTTTCATACGCGAAAACCCTCATTGAAGACATGAATGGATGAAGGTGATTATGTCGCATTTTGGGTTTTTCACTGCTCTATGCTTGGATAAAGGTTTTATATCATTGAAGTCAGGTATGCAATATGGAAAATGAAGGAAAACTTACTTCTGACATCTAGGACCATCTTCAAAAAGCCTCTGTGCTCGCTGTCGTAGCTTCTCGTTCTTACTTTTACTATGCAGTCGTACAACTTATTCTGAAAGTAAACGAACAATTATTTATTTGAGCATCAAACATCAAACTGAAAATGGTCTATGACTAAAAAAAGGTTTAAGGCTGGGTTGCACCATCTTACTTTGACTTTGACAAACGTCAGAAATCTGTCAAACTCCATACAAAACACACCGGTTATCGTTACAGTCACTGTTAAAGTTAGGTGTTGCAACTCAGCTTAAGAAACTCAAAGTAACTAACTATAAACTTACAGTAGTAGATCGCATATTAGCAGCTGGAACGCTAGGAATAGACTTGGGTGGGGGCGACGGCAATATAGTGCTCTCTCGCTTGTTCACGGTCGCGTACACGGGCGTATCTCGCATCTCTGTCTCGCCGTACAGAAAGTTTAACGGGTCGTACTCTTCATACACACTGCTACCGCATTCGCTTGCTCCTGCGTACTCTGTGGGATTTCAATGTGATGTTCAAGGGAAAAACGACCCTATTAAGTATAATATAAAAATCATTATAATTTTCATCCGAGTAAATGAAAGGGGCATAAAATATCATTTAACTCGTTCAAAGTTTTTCTGCTTCTAATGAATTTTAACTAAGATTACCCAATCATTGAGGAATTCACATGATCAATAAGTAGAAACGGTAAACTGAATTAAGTAATATAACCTTGATTTTTCAGCAAATACAAAGGCAATCGGAGATCACAAATTAGAACTAAGTTATTTGTTAATTAACTGAGGAAACGATAATTTTGTTAACTTCTGTGTAAAACTGTAATCAACAACACAAAACTGATTGAAAACAATTTCAAAACAATCAAAAACATGTATGGGAAAATTAACCACAAATATGATAGTGTATAAACAAGTAAAACCCAAGTGACATAATGGATATTTTGTTGCACATAGATTTGATGGTGCTTAGCTTTTTTGCTCCCAAATTACTTGCAAATAGTGCTAAATGATAAATAATTACAATGGACAACGAGCATCAGTCACACACAAAAGCGTAAAACACAATGGCTATGTGTAAATGAAGTTTATGAATCGAAACCAAAAATAATTACAAAGCTATAATTGACCCCTAATAAAATGATCGACTATTGACTCAAGTGAGTGCATACTGAAATAGTTTTCTCCATATACAATAAACTTACCAAATGAGAATTATATTGTACCGAAGTAGTGACTAAATTACTCTACATTTAGGTTGAAAAGGTATATTGCTTATTATTGTATTGCTTATTCTGCATATTATTTATGTACCAAGTATGAGAAAGAACCCAATGCCCATTATCCAAAAAGGTGGAGATATTGGTACTGGTACAATCAGCTAAGCTAACTCCGACCTAATGGATAATGAACCTAAAAGGTACGATTCCGATAGCTTCAATATTGGAAAGTCTATAATTTAAATTTTTCGTCTATTTTACGTATTTTTTTCAATCAATTAATTCAAAATCCATAGACGAAGCTCGGAATCATGGGGGCTACTCCGAAACGCTGTTTACGTAGTTTCGAGTCTATCTGTCACCGTCACTCATGCTGGCTTCTCGCTTTGTGAGAGGGATGGACAACATTCGAAACTGCGGATAACGTGTTTCGGAGTAGCCCCGCATACCTCGTGGGAAGGCAATGGAAATGAACACAAACCACTCACCAGCGTTACTTTGCTCAATTAGTAGTGGGTCAAACGCTTCAAGCACACTGACTCTTACGCTACCTGGCCCGCTGCTCTTCTTGGCGCCGAAGTCTATGAGGTTCATCGACTTAGGCAGGCTGCCTATTGTGTCGTTTGATTCATTTGACTGAAATAACGACAATTTTCACAGTTATAGAATTATAGTGGCTTTAAGCCTAGGCGCAGACAATCGATTTTTCGTCGGCCGATAGTTTAGTCGGGCAGTTGATCAGTATGGGCATGTATGGAAGTGCGCACATTACACCGATTTGATTTGGCAGAGTCTTCATACAAATTAATAACGGGCCCAACTATCGATTAACTAAAAATCGGTGGTCGGCGCCTAGTCTTAAGCAGGATAGAGTTTAATTTCTAGTTCATTTCTTTAGGAACTTCGAAACGCTATTTTGTTCGATGCAAGCATACACTAACTAACAGATACCTCACAGTTGAAAGTTACCACCACATAATTTGCTAATTTAATGAAATCCATTTTCTTTCGAAATGACAAAAGAGGCATTAAATTCTCCTCGTGTACTGTGTTTTATGTACATATAAGCTTTAAATATGTAGTAACTTTGCATTTTACATGAAAAAGAAACTAAATGTGAATACTTACCGCTATACTAACTTCCGACAACTTCCTCGGTTTGGAAGTGTCCACAGTTTCCCTACTCGGCTCATTCTTCACCACTGGGGGGTTGTTATTATTGTTATTGTAGCTAGCATTAGCCGCAGGGGGCGGGTACGAGTGCGTTTGAGTCAACTGCGGGTAGATACTAGCCGGCCTCGGCGGCCGCGATATCATGTTTGTGGTATTGTAGTTGTAGGTAGAAGTTTGAACCGGAGGCGGGTATCCCACGTACGGCGACGGCGTTGCCATACGCGTCTGACTGTACGGCATGGTTGGGCCATAGATTGGGGTGTGGACAGGCGTATATACAGGGGTGACGTCAGATTGTGGAGTTGGGGGCTGGTGGTAGTAGTAATTGGGCATTTGCCCAGGCATGGGGGTTGGAATTGGAGTGGGCATAGGAGCCGGCATGCCGTAGGGAGTAGAAGGTGGGTAGGGCGGCGGCTGCCCGTAAGGAGGTGGGTAGTACGCATACTGCGAGTATGGGTACCCCGGTATCTGGTTGTAGGGATGATTATTCATCGTAACTGGAGCTGTTTCTGGTGTGTTTAGGGTGAGCTCCTCTGTTTGTCTGAAAAGTTAATTTTCATTTTATAGTAAAGTACCTCTTTTAACTCCTAAGCTAAGTCAAACACTGTAGAATCTTAGTAATAGGGGCTATTTTTCAACAAAAATATCATCATCATTTCAGCCATAGGACGTCCACTGCTGAACATAGGCCTTCCCCAATGCTTTCTATGTTTATCGATTGGTAGCGGCCTGCGTCCAGCTACCTTACTGCTACCAAAAATATAGTCTGATGTAAAAAGTACTACATATTATGTTGTAAACTAAGTTATAATACTTTAAAACACTCATCATGATTAGAGTTGCCACGAATAGTGATTTAGCCGAATACCGAATACCGAATATTCGGCAACGCTGTCGGCCGAAGCGCCGAATGTTCGGCGGCCGAATATTCGGCACAAAGTACATGCTAGTCGAGCGCGTAAATAATAATACGACAGGTTGCCCTGTCTCAGTCGCGCGCGGGCGGTGTGAGGCTATTTGACTCTTTCATTCAATTGCGAGTAAATCACGTCACGGCACGCATTGACAGATTAATATAAATTACAAATTTCTGGTCGCTACTTTTCTTGATCCACGCTTCAAAACAAGTTTCCTAGGTTTTGTTCAAGCAGAAAGAGCAAGACAAAAAATTCTTATAGAAGCTCTGAAACTAAGTTGTAATGATGAGTCTAGTAGTACCGATGACGATTCTTCTCCACGTCGTAAGAGAAGAAACTTGAACGAAAATGATAAGTCATTTGAAATACACGACAGTTTCTGGAACTGCTTTTAGTCCAGTAGAATTAGCTTTTAAATCGGAAATAATTCCTACAAAAGATTTTATTGTTTTAATGGCTTCATTGGTTGCCCATTAAGACTCTCCTAAGTTTTCGACTTCGACGGAGTTGTGCATAAGTGGTGGGGGCCCCCGAAAGGGGCATTTTTTCGGTTTTCCGGTTATACCGCGTAAAGGACTTACCCTATCAAAAAGTGGTCTTCATGACGGTTGAAGGGCACTTAATCCTGCATTGAATAAGACCAAATTCATATGTTTTGGACAAACCGTTCTCGCGCTAAAGTTCGGCAAAGTAGAAAATATACGTATAATTAATGAGCTTCTCCACGTCCAATGGTTTGTTACCCACAGGCTTCCAAGTCTTGAAAAGGGCCACCTCAACCAATGTAACCCTATCAAGGCTTACGAGCTTGATGCGCCTATCCTTGTTCGTCCCAGCCGTTCCTTAACTGCGGTTGCTGCACCTCTTCCTGGCACTCACCTGAACGACTCTGTGTTACCTACTGTGGCTGCCCCTCTTCCTTGTATCCTCCTGCATGACTACGTTGCCTAGCCGTATGCCTGGTCTAAGGTTCGACGCCAAAAATCAACAACAACAAGTTCATATTAAAACGCTGAAGAGTTTTTTGTTTGTTTGTTTGAACGCGCTAATCTTAAGAATTACTAGTTTGATTGAAATCATTATTTTTGTGTTGAATAGCTCATACATTGAGGAAGGCTATAGGATATATACAATCACTCTACGACTAATAGAGGCGAAGCAGTAAAGAAAAATGTTGCAAGCACGGGAAATAGTATTTAAACTATTTTCACTCGTACGAAGTTGATTTTGTGGCGTCGAACCTTGGACCAGGCATATGGCTAAGCAATGAAATCGTACAGGAGGGTACAAGGAAGAGGGGCAGCCACATTAGGTAACACAGAGTCGTTCAGGAGAGTGCCAGGAAGAGGTGCAGCAACCGCAGTTAAGGAACGGCTGGGACGAACAAGGATAAGCGAATCAAACTCGTGAGCCTTGTTAGGGTTACACTGGTTAAGGCGACCCTTTACAAGGCTTGGAAGCATGTGGGTAACAAGCCATTGGACGTGGAGAGGGTCATTAATTATACGTATATTTTCTACTTTGCCGAACTTTAGCGCGAGAACGGTTTGTCCAAAACATATGAATTTGGTCTTATTCAATGCAGGATTAAGTGCCCTTTAACCGTCATGAAGACCACTTTTCGATAGGGTAAGTCCTTTACACGGTATAACCGGAAAACCGAAAAAACGCCCCTTTCGGGGGCCCCCACCACTTAAGCACAACTCCGTCGAAGTCGAAAACTTAGGAGAGTCTTAATGGGCAACCAATGAAGCCATTAAAGCAAAAAAATCTTTTGTAGGAATTATTTCCGATTTAATCAATTTTTGTGTTTAATTCTACTGGCCTATTTGAGGAAGTCGTTAAAGATAATATGCGAAATAGTAATGATAAGGAGAACGTGGAGAAGAATACTGTGGCAAATGAGATGGATTTTTATTTGAAATCAAATCGACTAGATCGAGAAGCTTACAAGTGGTGGTCAGCTAATGAAAAACAATACCCAAACCTCTCGAAATTTGCTAAGTTTATCTTTCTTCTCCCGGGAGTAGCGTGTATAGTGAGAGGTTGTTTTCTGAAGCTGGTATCATTTATGATGAAAAGCGTAATCGTTTGCTACCTTCAAATGCTGAAAAGCTTGTTTTTATCCATCACAACTTACAGCTGATTAATTTTACTTATTAAAGTATTGTAATTTGATAATAAAGACAAATCTCGATTAATATGATGTGTCCTTTTTTTCCATGACTTGGTATTCGGTATTCGGCCGAATAGTACCTATTATTCGGCCGAATACCGAATACCAAAAAAAGTGGCCGAATAGGCCGAATACCGAATAGTAGCCGAATATTCGTGGCATGTCTAATCATGATCAAAAAATAAGCCAGTGTTTATCTTCACACCTTATCAGCATGATATCTTTTATCAAACATGCGCGAGTATACAACAGGTTCCGAGATATAAAAAGTAAAAAAGCAATTTACATTTTAAGTGCGTGTCTTATATTATCTCGTTTCATCTTTAGAAAAAATAAACATGCTGCATTCCAGGTACTCTTATGAAACTATGTTACTCAAGAAGCTAGTCACTCAATACACATCATTTCCTCATAGCTTTAAATAAATTATGAGATCCAAATCTAAACAATAACATAGTGTAATCGATTCCCAAAATCGTTTCAATTTCTTTGTTGTTCAAATAATACTTGTATAGCCTGACCAAGAACATAAAAACCCTGGCATAGAGGCGCGTCAATTGCATTTGATAGTGCAACACTGAGTACAGTCGTACCTGTGTTAAATTAATAGGCTAACTTTATGTATCAGGATTACGGGCTAATTTGATATTTTCATAAATTAACGAAATAATANAAACGATTATAAAATTATATAAAAATAATTGTCACTACTATTGGGACACCTCAATATCGCCATTTTTTTATTGTAATCACATGCTACAAAGTGCTAATTATTAGAAAAATATCGATATATTAAACTTACTAAATCGCACAAAATGGGAATGACGCGAGCCGATGACAAACTGCGAGTATCTCTCGTTTTCGGAGTTTAAAAAGTCTCGGAGCTGCGTAAATGGCAATGCCAGATTTTGTATGGAAAGTGGCGTCTTTTTTTTTTCGCGCGGCCATCGACCAAACTTTGTTTTTTGATTACAAAATAGTGTAATAAACCAAACTTACTACGGCATGTATACCTCTAAACTCAGTCTGAACTGAGTTACGAGCATTACAAGTTTGATGATTTTCATACTAGATTTGCTTTTTGTGCGCAAGTTTTGTAAGAAATTGCAACAAAATATTGCGCAATTTTTTTATTGCGCTGATTCTGCTCCACACTATTGTCTGGAGCCTTTAATGGATGGTATTGTTTGTTTACACATACAATCTCACTATTTTGTTGCAATTTCTTACAAAACTTTGCGCGCAAAAAGCAAATCTAGTATGAAAATCATCAAACTTGTAATGCTCGTAACTCAGTTCAGACTGAGTTTAGAGGTATACATGNAAAAGTGGTCTTCATGACGGTTGAAGGGCACTTAATCCTGCATTGAATAAGACCAAATTCATATGTTTTGGACAAACCGTTCTCGCGCTAAAGTTCGGCAAAGTAGAAAATATACGTATAATTAATGAGCTTCTCCACGTCCAATGGTTTGTTACCCACAAGGCTTCCAAGTCTTGAAAAGGGCCACCTCAACCAATGTAACCCTATCAAGGCAATCAAGGATAGGCGCATCAAGCTCGTAAAGCTTGATGCGCCTATCCTTGTTCGTCCCAGCCGTTCCTTAACTGCGGTTGCTGCACCTCTTCCTGGCACTCACCTGAACGACTCTGTGTTACCTACTGTGGCTGCCCCTCTTCCTTGTATCCTACTGCATGACTACGTTGCCTAGCCGTATGCCTGGTCTAAGGTTCGACGCCAAAAATCAACAACAACAAGTTCATATTAAAACGCTGAAGAGTTTTTTGTTTGTTTGTTTGAACGCGCTAATCTTAAGAATTACTAGTTTGATTGAAATCATTATTTTTGTGTTGAATAGCTCATACGGGCTGGAAGACGTAGCGTGGGCAGGCCTCCTACTAGGTGGACCGACGATCTGGTAAAGGTCGCGGGAAGAGCCTGGATGCGGGCAGCGCAGGACCGTTCATTGTGGAAAACCTTGGGGGAGGCCTTTGTCCAGCAGTGGACGTCATTTGGCTGAAAAAGAAGAAGAAGAAAGAGCTCATACATTACGCTTCAAACTCGGTACTTCTTTCCCAATTCCATAAAATTCAACACTTAGAAAGTGACAAAAAACTTTAAAATAGGTAGTTGAAACAAACTACAGCTAATTTTCATAGTGGACTGTACTATACGATAAACATGTCAGTCAATTTGACAACCTTTGTTGGAAACATTATTCAATGAAAATATTGTCCGAACCTTTGGTATTTCTCTTCGACAAATACTTTAACACATTGTGAACCACTTTTCTTTCACGACTATAAAAAGATTTTAGCAATTTCATTTACAAAATCAATTGCGCACATTTAAAATAAAGTTTGTTTACACTTTGACAGCAATAGACTGACATGCAAGGTGACATGTCAATGAAGTTTTCAGTTACTGTTGCCATTAAAAGAAATTAGTACCATTAGTTTTCCGCAACATGGCGAGGGTTTTTATGTTCCTGGTCAGGCTATAGTAACGTACTTGTTTATCTGATCAATGTATTCCTTGAGCGACGCATGCGGGTCCTTGGGCGCAGTTTTGCTGGTTGGACTCGCGAATGATATGAGGTCGCTGCTATCATCTCTTGTAGGACTCGCTCCTGTAGACCTGCTGACAAAAAAATTGTTTCGTCAGCAGTTTGTGACGTCACGCGCTTAGTTTTGTTGACGGCTTTGCGCAATTATCCTTGATCTATGATAAGCTTCTCTGAAATAAGTCGCTATTCTGACGATGTCAACTACAGACAAACAAAGTAAAATGATCCGCTAAGCCAGATCTACTACCGAGTTGTGAGAAGAAAAGGTGGAGCCAGGTTTGGCCATAAACAAAAGAAGAAGAAATAACCTAGGATAAAAATATGGCGTAAAAGTAGATCACTGATCAAAAACAGCTAATCAGAAAGCTGCCATAATTGATTATACAAAGACTCAGTAGTGTGATAGATAATATCGAATTAGCAGGATAGCATCTTACTGAAAATTTCATTTTATAGAACGACATCTAAACTATAACAATTTGATCACTTCCAGAAGAGCGGGAAGAGCCTGGATGCGGGCAGCGCAGGACCGTGCATTGTACAAAACCTTGGAGGAGGCCTTTGTCCAGCAGTGGACGTCATTTGACTGAAACGAACGAACGAACGATCACTTCCAGACAGCAACGTCTTCATAGAACGGTTGAAACAAAGTATGGGGTCACTGTATCCCGCATTGGGGTAGGTCTACATCTGACTGGAGTGAGCTGTTTAGTTGGAAATACAGTCGATAGCACGTCGTGCCTACAAATATCTGTAGCAAAACAGCTCTTGGTACAACCAGGCCTGTTCATCTACGAGAGTTTACATCGAAAACAAAACACGCACGATGGCCCACCTACAGGATACTATTCGACAAGGCCTCACATACGAGCGAACATTGACTCACGCACGCGTATTCTTGTGTATGATGGAAGAAAATAAAGAAAATGGTGTACTAAATACTGTGCAATATTTAACTGCCTAAATAATAATAAAAACACAGAATGTACTTTTTTAAGTTGCCTCATGACACTGAGAGGTAAATAAGTAGTTAATATTATTCATGATAATTCATGCTAAACCATGTATTTCCTCCGCCATTTTCCGCAGTTTGGCACCTCACGACACATTATTTTACCGAAGTCAGCCCTATAGCTTCGGCGCAGTGCCGATCACTGAGGTTTGTCAACAAAATGGTGCTTGACTCTTGAGCCAGGCTAAATTACACCATATTGTTAATGACATTAAGCATACATTTTTTAAATACCTTCGCGAAGTGAAACTTCTGTACGTAGTACTTATTATTATTCTGTGGTACAGCCACATAAGATGCTTGGTGTCCTCACCTAGGCGTGTCGGTAGCAGGCCGGCCTCGCGGTGGCTTCCGCGGCGGAGGCGGCAGCGCAGGCGGCGGTCCCTCGTTGTCGTCGCGTCGGCGCAAACTAAACCCGCTGCCCACATTGTTATCTGCCAATTTATCGACCAGATAAATCAATCAACCAATCACTTCACACGACTCCCATATCTGTTAACAGCTAAAGATTTAATAGCACAGTTTTATTTGTAAACAGATGCTATTACCTGCTATATGTATTTGTACTTCGGTACACATAAATAAAATCAAACAACTTTTACGATAAACTAGCTTTTGCGCGCGGCTTCACCCGCGTGAAATTCAGTTTGTCGCAGATCATCATAAGTTATAGCCTATATGTAGGTAATAAACAATAATACTGTAAAGTTTCATCAAAATCCGTTCAGTAGATTTTGCGTGAAAGCATTTATAATATTGGTAGGACTAATTAAAATACAAATAATCTAAAGGTCATTAATAATGGTATGTGGTCTGTTTACAATTTTGATTACCTAATTCTAAATGTGTTATCCATCATTTGTGTGATTATTGATTATTTGTACATAATACATATTACAACTATGGCAACAAAGACTGTACTAATTAAAACAGATTTTCAATAATTTTCCCTAATAAACTAATGATACAAATACTGTTAATTAATCATTTAAAAGGCAGCTATTGAATCATATTCAAGTTAAGTAATTTTAGAATTTATAGTGTTTAGGTTTAAATCTATCACTGTATGGATAATTATTATATTAATTACTGCAAGCTGTTACTTAACTACCTGATTCTCATAAAATAATAGAGTTAAATTGAGTTAATTAGGGCAAGGACAAGTGAATTTCATTATTTATTCTTCCTATTTTATGAGTTGCACCAGATTATTTTTTTAAAGAACTAACCATCAATCAACAATCAACTATGTTTTAAAATTCTTTTAATAGGTATAATTCCTACATCGTAACATTACCTTTCTCCACACAAGTTAATTCCCGAATTAATAAAAATGCATAATGATGCAAATATCAATAAGTAAAGATAATGAGTACCTAGACACCTACTCACCGCCCACACAATATTTATCTTTCTCAATCATTAAGTGTTAATCAATGCTCTATTTAGCTTCAGGGTAATGACCTCCCCTTCCTCTCACATTGATACCGAACAAATGGAAATACTTGATCAGAACGATGCTACTTAACGGTGTTGACACAGCTTCAATTGAATTTATTGTCTCAATAAAGTTGACCTGATGAAAGTATTGGTGAATCACCATACATATTTATGTCACTGGCAACATTATAAAAAGGTTTTAATTATATTAAAAATCTGATTCATTTCATTTATCCTTTCTAATTATGTTTAAAATTGGTAATAATTAATATACAAATGAAAAATTTACTATAATTTTAGAGATAATTAGCACATTCAAATTAAAACCTTAATTATTTTTGTAAAAAGTTTTGATTACAAAAATAAAATATGAATCAAGAAAATCTATAGAATATAGCTAGATATCTATTTTAATCAAATAATTTATGTTTATGGTGGTTTGATAGTGTTAGTTTTTAAGCTTCTTTATAAGATGATAGGCAGGGAATATTGGATTCCGTAATTGGCATTTATATATAATTTGGCTAATGATGAGTCTTTTCCTACAATTTGTAACAATGACTAAATAGATAACCAGATTATAAAACTCAATGGAAATGTTACAAGTCCACTAGATATTAAAATGCCATTATCACAACTAGTACATTTTGATTTGCTAATTATAATGATTATTTAAAACATTATGCATAATATCCTCCAAGACTAATCTATAAGATAATCAAATCAAAGTTTATCAATACATTCCTGGTTATTTCAGTAAGGTAAGAAAGTACTTGATATTATTATAATACCAATAGCAATGTTCTTCACAGATTTCACCAAGAATGACTAATTATCTAAGCCCCTTTGGTCTATAATCAAAATAGACTTCCCAATATAGATATGAAAAATTAGACTGATAAAAGGTCAAACATCTTCACGAAATCTCATAGTAAACAATATTACGTCAGTTACCTGCGCTGGATATTTGCTTCTGTCTACGAAATTGCTCCAGAGCCAGACTTTCTAAACTCAAAGCCTGGGCCTTCTCCAAATCAGCTTGAAACTGAAGATCGTAGTCTGACATTGTCGGATATCCCTCTACAGGCGTCTACAACACCAACAAAATGAGCGTGGGAATTAAAACAATAAGAGCACTGTTAGAGGATGCACCACGATACAAAAACTTTGATATTCCATCAACGCCGAGAACAAAACCACTCAACTCGTATTGCATTTAAAATCCATTACCTTATACCGATGGAACACTTTCCGGTAGCGCTTGAGCTCAAAATTTTCAAGACATTATACGATAATTAGCTAAAAAGTACCGAAATTCAATTTTATTTGTTAATTTTAGTGGGTCAATTTGTATGCATCGTTCGGGAAAATAACTCGACTAAATAAATAGGCAGTAATTTTTGACATTTCGACAGTAAGTTCGAGTGAGAGATCCGACTCTCAACGTCAAACCAAGAAAGACCACTGAATTTAATCGGATTATAGTAGTGACGTTACCCGAACATAGCATCAAATATCGATAATAAATACTAAGATTTCCAAAAGTTTATAATATTCACGGTAAGCAATTTCACGAAAAAGAGTTAAAAAAAATCTGTGTTATTCGGCGTTGACTTCTTTAGGTTTTTTGTGGTAATCAAAACTCTTAACAAGGTTTATTTCTGCCAATGTTAAGTAATAGTATAATTTATTTATTTATTTAAATATTTATTTCAAAATTACATAATTTCCTCAGCTGATTTATCTTTTTTTTCTTCTTCTATTGTTAAAGTGATGAATGAACTTTTTTTATATGAATTTGTGTTTTATCGTTTTCATCAACTTTTTTCATGGACATCACTAAGAATTGACACGAAATGTCATCAAACATTTCATTTTAAGAAATATAACAGCTTTAGACAAAATACATTTAGCCAATTTACCAATTCATTAAGAAAAGAATACATTGGCGCATACATTTCACACCAATTTAATTTAATTAAATATTATTTATTATTCATTGTGAAAATTTACTATTACGCAAGATTTTAACTATAATATTCACATTTCGAAGACGTCAATAAATTCTTCTAGCCATTTTTATTACGTATAATGGAACGGTTGAGAATCACAATAGGCGGGAATTTAAAAGTTGTGTTGATAACTTTAAAATGAATTGAAATGATTAATATTCTCATTTCTGCTAAATAAAAGCCATTAAAAATGAAAACGGCATCAAACTATACGTAAAAACAAGAATATTCATTTCCTTTTTACTATGTAATAGGTTAAGTAGGTACATTTTTGGGTAGGAAATGTGGAAGAAGGCAAAAATAAAAAACACTGTTTTAACTCCCACACTTTATTGCTTTTAAATGGATTTACTTGGGTACACTTGTATTTTCGTGATATTATATCGTTCTAATTAAATTTGTGCCAAAATGTTATTTTCGTTACATACTAAAACCGTGGCAGTTATTACACATCTAATAACCTACTTATTTTACTAGACAAACCTAAGTAATTAAAATAATAATGTATTCCCATTACATCAGTATTATTATTTCTAGATTACATTATGAAATAGATAAGTATGTAATTAATTGATAGTTATTTTATGGACTTGAAGAAGCTTTTTGGGTGGACTTATTGTAACACGTTCTACAACAGGTTTGATAACGTAATAATATCTCATAGCACCTGAAAATGTACAACACTAGTCAATCAAAATATAGTACTTTCGCACGTAATGTTACGGCCAAGCAACAACACCCTGGGGTTGAGACAACTGGCCCTGGGACAGTTTTTTAAGTTTTGTACCTTTCTTTATGACTTTGTGGTTCGTCATTACATCTCTCGGGGAGTTGGTTGCTGATAATCTCTTCTTGAGGTTTTTGTTGGTAGCAGCTTTAGCTATGTTCGCTCGCCTGATTTTTATAGGAGAAGTGTTTCTTGAGGTTTTGTTTGCAACTTCTGCGTTGAAGTCGTCCTTTCTCTCTGATGTCGTGGCTCTAGCGCGGGCGGGACTCCTGGCCGGCGAGTAAAGGCTTTTGGACTTTTTCATTTTCTTTTTGGTACGTACGTGTTTTACTTTCTTTGGCTTTAGATCGACATTTATTTGTGTCGGTACTTGACCCTCCGCGTTCATCTGCAACAAACCAGGTTTTAGGTGTGGTGTGTTACACAAGGAAGTAAGTAAATAGGTTTGTTAAGTAATAAACTTATCAAAATATTACGAAAGAACCTGTTCGTAAAACAAATCATCCGCTTCTTGCCGATCGCAGAAATCCAGAATTTTGTTGCAGACAGCTCTTAAATTCTTCAGTTTCAGTTTCTTCTTCTTGTTTACTCCATAACGATCAACTTCATCCAGTCTTAATGTTCTATAATAAATAAAACAAAATGATAAAGAGATTTACAAATGAATAAAGTTCTTGGATGAAAACTGACCAGGTATCATATATCAAAAATAGGTCTCTCCTGTCTCTAGGCGCCTGGTTGCTGGTTCGCGGTACATATTTAGGGAATCCTTGGGGAGGACTTTGCTCTAGGATAACGTATTTCGATAGAAGACAGAAAGAGTAATGCAAAGCTAATGGAAAGAAAAACAAAATGTAGCTATAGGTACATATAAACAGCACCTCTAAGCTACCCTCATCTTATGGCATTAAATTTTGGTTAGGAGGAGGACTCTACAGTAATTGTTGAACCATGCAAAAGGACACCTATGGCGGTTATTAAAGTTCAAATGGCGACGCACACCCAACTCACTTTATAACTTTAGGTTTATTCATGATATCATTGTCTTTATCTTCTATATTCATGGCTGTTTCCCAGATATTCTTGAAGAGCTGCCTGCGTTCAGCGTAGCTATCCTCTGTGGTCATCAGATGGTCCATAATCGTATCTATCAACAACTCAACGCAGAATTCATCATTTTAGCGAAAGGTTTATTACATTTTAAATGGGTCTAATTTTTGTGGGAATTTAGTTACAACATTTTATTTTTTTGGGATTTTAAAAATTGGTGACAACTATGTTTGACACTAACAATGACACGACTGCGTCAAATGAAAGTTTTTTCTTTATTTTCAATTATCTATTTCACTCGAGAAAATGAGGTCAATTTTGCTATCCTACTTAATAAGGTTGGATATTGGGTACATACAGGGTAGGTGTACCATGTAGGACCTAAAGCCGTTGGCCGTATGGAGCGCGCAAATATAAACTACCTTTTGCCATTAATTTTATAGAGAGAAGGAGCATCCTATGTAAGAGCACACACAAAGAACATGCAACAAGTTACTAACGACTTGCCGACGACGGCAGCCTCAGTAGTCGGGCGGCCCTCAGCGGAAAGGCTTTGCCAAACGAAACGAGCTCACGCCACTTCGAAACTTCGCGGAAAACTTTTTTTCAATAAACCATTTCCAAATTGAAATGGTACGATGTCGGGCAAATACGACCCGAGCACGCTGTGGGTTGCTCTTAGCGAGTACAGCGATGGGAACATCTTTGAGGTGTACCCCAAGCTCTTGGCACAGCTCCTCGTGGAGGAAGATGCAGCGAGACAGGTTGGTGATACCAGTGAGGCGGAGAAGCTGGTGTTGCCCAGCGATAAGGACTGGCGACTGCAGCAATACTTCATCCTTGTCGGGATGCAGAAGGATTTGGATATGGATTCGTAAGTTTTTATAAAAAACAGAATGCATTTTAAGAATCAAATTTTAAGAATTCAGGGCAACGAGCTACCTAAGCAACTTTTTCATTTTTTTGGTCTTTGTAAGTAGGCCTCTTGAATTAATGTAGGACTACGTGGATGACCTGACTACAAAAAATAAGGTTGTTTAGGGTTTAGGTACTACACACATGCGAGTATTGCATAAAAATATTGCTCATTTAGAAGCCCCAGCCCAGTTTTTTGGAAGCTATTAATGTGTTGAAGTAATTTATAATCCCTGAAAAGTAGAAAAAGGCATGAGGATGGCTTGATACCTGACGGATTACGAATATTGAAAAATAAAGAACAAAGTGAAGCCACTGAAAAAATGTCCTGAAACTTAATAGGCCACTATGATTCCATATAACATGGCACTGTAATCTGCTAACAATAGAATTATAACAAGTTTTTCATGTTACTTTAGTAGGTCTAATTACACCTCTCTTTTCTTTTCATGCTTACTTAGTTACATAATACTGAGTTTATTTGTCTACAACCAATGTTCTTTTTAATAACAATGGTGTATTGTATTCCTTACAAATAGTGTCTATTATAGTAAGAAAATAAAAATAACCTTTATACACCGTCAGCCGTCTGTTCCTTTATTAGCGTACGGGGGCGGCGACCGTGACCCGCCCTCTATTTATGCCCGTGTCATGCATGTAACATACTGGCAGTTGGCACCCTATCTGCTCGGTATGATAATGACTTGAGGAGCACGCGCCTGTTCATCATAGGCACGATATAAGTGGAAAACCACAAGTTTGTTTATTAACTAAAATTGCAAGAAGAAACTGCTTTTCCAAAAAAGAAGCCTTTGGAGCAATATTCTGAGACTCCGAGAGTTCTTTACGAGGTTCAAGATTGTTGCTACTTATCCAATCTTTGCGTAACAATCATCTCTAGGTAGGTACAGCTTCAGTTTTTATGTAGGTACACGAACAATGGTAAAAACGATCAATAAGGCAAGCATTCGATGCTTGCATGTAGCATCTCAATATAAACCGCCTTTACCTTCGGTAGATTGCATCAATCTGGGCGCCTTTGTTCCGCGTACCAAATAGGGCAAAGTAGCAATGTGACTGGTTGGGAACAAGCGGTTTATGTTCCAACGATGAAAGAACTATGAACACCTTCATCATCGTTAGGTCTCCTCAGTCTCCTCTGCAGGAGAACGACCCTCTTTAATTTAGTACCTATTCAATAATGGAGGATTTGACCAACACTCCCCACCCTGGCCTGGCGGGTATAAGCTACCATAAAGAAATACCTAGGTAAAATACTTTAAACTTTTTTTAAACATGAATAGTAATACTGGCCCCAAAGAAAAAAGAGAAAAAACATGGGATGAACAGTTGCAAAATGACAGCTTTCATATAAAAAGAAAATTGTGAAGTTCGTAAAAAAACAAGATTTCCCAATAAACTTTTAATTGCTAGTGATTTGATTTATCGGATCGTAGAAACAGATTTTTAAACTAATTATAAGCATGGGGACATTTTTGTAGAAGTGAAATTTGTGTTGTGTGTTGTCAAAAATGGCTCATTATTCTCACCAATGAATGGAGAATAATATGATAACAAATGAACGAATTAATTTAATAACGTAAGTTTATCATTGATAAGCAAATTAAAATAAGATCACGTCATGTCAAGATCTTGACAAGACCGAGAATCAAGCTATAGCCATCATGCAATAAGCGTACGGTCAGGCACAAGCGTAAGCGATTAAGCTCAATCCCGCTATAAATAATTAAATTCATACGTAGCAGTTTGTAGATAACATTGTTCAATATAGTTAAATGAGCTGTTGGGAATTTCAACACTTGTAGGAGGCAACCAATTCTAACTTACTTGGATAACATCTGATTGTCAGGTGAAGCTATTCCTTTTACTTCATCCAACAGTTCATGAAATATTGCATGCCAATAGGGAAGAAGACGGTGACAAGGTTCAAAAGCCCATGGAGGAGCCGCCTGAGGAGTGGGCGCCGTGGAGCCTGGTGGTGGCCACCAAGAATCCGAACGCCCCGCCGCCTGTCGCCGTCAAAACCGCTCCGGGGCCTGCCTGGGACATAGGACAGGTCCTGAAACTTGCTTCATAATGGACTAAGACCCGGTTTCCACTAATGCGGAGCGGAGAGGAGAAAGGTTTTGAAAAACCAATCAGATTTCATTATTTTCACAATCTCTGATACGCGCCGCGCCGCCGCCGCGCTTTCAAATTTTATAGAAAAAATTAGTCCGCTAGACACTTCTCCGCTCGATCCGTCTTGGTGGAAACCGAGCCTTACATTATATCAGAAATGTCAAATAACATAAGTACTACATGACTTTAATTCTTGGCAGGTCTTAAAAGCAGCTCGACTTCTGTGCAAGCCACCGCTTGCCGTCGAGTTTGAACATGAGCAAGAGATGCGATGTGTCTACTCGCTCATCTACGATGTCTTTCGATGTGAGTATTTGGTATGCAGCAATGTAAAGTAACATTATTTTATGCAGTATAGGTTAATGTCCGTGACTCCCACTCTGCATGGGGCACACTGAAAACCAGCGTTGTGGCCTTCCTCACCGGGGGCCACGGAATATGCTGAGTGGGGTTCCTCAGTTTACTTTCTCTTCCATTGTATGTTTTATATCACCTCTGTCTTGTGAATCTTTTGTCTTTTGTTTTGTGATGTCCATGGCAATAAATAAATAAAATAAATAAATAAATAAATCTTTGGACAATTTCACACAGCGCCAGCTAGCCCCAAAATGTTTCTTTCATTCTTTCTTTCTAAACATTAATTAGAATTTCACGTAAAATTTCATTTTGATTTTTTAATCGCGATTCCATCCTATTGGTGCTATTGGTTTTTGACCACAGTTCACCTCTAACCTCACCACCTGCACTGTGAAACTGTGAGGTGTGGTTAGGGCTTATAATAAATAAAAATAAAAAATAAAATTATATGCTTAAACTTGGATAATAATATGTACTAGAAAGTTCCAAAATTAGGACATTCATTTTCTATTTCGTCTTTCGGGCTTTCCACGACAACAGACTAAAGTCGTAAAAACTTTGGAGATTTATGATGCAACTTATTTTTATTTTACTGCCACCCTCCGCTGTAAATCAGCAAGCAGCAAGGTGATTTGTGAAATAATAAATAGCCCAAAAAATTTAACGAAAAGTCGTTACATGGATGAAGTAGCTTAGGTAACTAGCAACTCGGACGTATTTTCTTGAGGGTTACATTTGTATGTATTATCGTATTATAAAGAACATAAAAGCGCATTCGAACTTAGTTTTAATCAAACTTATTTGTTGCAAGACTAATCTTACACTGTAAATATTAATTGCAAACAAACATTTTTACAGAAACATTGCTTTATCATTCCTGAAAACCCCTACGACCCTACATTTATTGCAACACTCGTAGAGCTGTAAATTACAACACGCTATGTTCCAAACTAGTTTACTACTGTTCTAAACGCTATTTAACTTTTATCACGATGCCTACACGATTATTGTCGCGATAATACTTCTTGCAAACTGCCGTATAACAGTCATCGTGGTTGGGAAAGTTTACACGGTTTTCGTTATGGAGTTTTGCAAGTTGGTGTTAATTAATATTGTTACCGAATGTAAATATTCCCAAATGTAGCAAGAGCAAGCACTTCTTTTGTTGGTACTTCGGTATGATCGTGATGAATGATAAATACATACCTAAATACGACAGTAAAAAGCTGTTCAAGTTTCTTTATGAAGTTCAGGGTCATCACGCTTTATGTAAAGCATTCAGGGGTACTAACCAAAATTTTATACGTATAATAAAAAGTATCTTTTTTTCTTACGTTAAAAAGATAACAGACAGATTACAAGTACCTTTATATTTAGGTTCGCCTGTAGCCTGACTGAAAGTAGAAAACTTTAGTCTGTATTTTATTCATGAACGCTTTCGCGATGACATGTTACCGTCTCGCGAAGCACCTACTAGAATAGAAAAGCTATAAGGCTACGTATTTTTCATTTTTTGTGCAGTCTTTTATTATTCGACAGACGGACACTTCACCTATTTTGTGACTTATTCATATGGATGTGGGGGCGTCACGCGACTTATGTAAGTTCTGCGCCTCACACACGGCATTTACCAATACCTAGAATTAACATGAACTTCATTTTGCAGATAAGTCTATTTTGGACCAAGCAATCGAAGACATAGAGTTCTTTGAGGACTATCCAGAGGTGAGTGATTCTAAAATAGATCTCAACATCGCATAAAAGATTTACCCCCTTACTAATAAAACTTACACGCTCGTTTAACAGTGTTTTAAAGTGACGTTTAGTATGAAAATGACATTTTAAAACAGTGTTCAACAACTGTGTAACTTTTTATTAGTAAGGGGGTTAGAGTCAGGTTTGAGAGATGCTTTGGTGGCGTTGGCATTGTATTATTGTGCAAGGTAAGTATTCAGTGCTGCTTATTTAGCTTGCTGAAATACCAGACACTGAAATCTAATTACCATAAGGAAGTCCGACAACCATTTAATAAAATATTCCTAAAGCATTCGATTTATTCTTAGTTAGGTACCCTTTAGTCGGTTAGTTATTTTTCGATTTCTCAATATCAAGGTCTCGAACTTGTTCGATGATTAATGAAGGCCTTTTATTCCATTCAAGGCTGCATATTTAAACGTCATTACCATTCGTAACGTTCAGTTAGGGCAGGTTCGACAAGATGTATAAAAAGTATGCCCCATCTAAGTCGCATTATTGTCATTACACCACTCTCGTGACCGAAACCATTTCTTTCCCAAATGTGGAGGACGCGCACGAAAATGAGCTGTATATTTATGGCAGCTGTTCTCGCAAACGAAAAGAATCGGAATCGGCAAATGTAAGGTTGTTAAAGTGGAGCTATTAATAAAGGCGCGGGCTGGTGCGCCGAAGGTTTCATCAAGGCGCCTCGCTTACTTAGATGAAAGATAACCCTGCATTAGTTTCTGTTAGCAACTCATTTAGCCAAGTTCAGCCATTTGTTTGAGGGTTCAAATTGGTAGGTACGGTAACACGATTTTATATTAAGTAACTCGCAATGCAAATAATATGTTTCTGAAGACCTAGCTAAAAAGGTGGCTTGTTTTCTCTTTTAAAGATAGCAAAACATCGTCACGCAGTATGGTTATTCTTGATGGAGTTGGCCAGACGCCGTTGGGGAGCAAGACCTCGAAGCGAGATCGAAAGGGCCACTCGTCTGCTGAACGAAGCTGGATCGCCCTTTAAGGACATCGAGAATACTATCTGGAATCAGAGGGTGCACTTCGCTGCTGCCATCGCCAGGATACGCATCAAAAATAAGGCTTTCTCGTAAGTATAATTTAATATATTTTTAAGTATTTGGTAGTTAATTTTTTTATTCTTGGGGAAATGTATTANGATTTTTGATTTTATTTTGGATACTATTGTCATAACCTTGATCCTTCTTCCTTCTGGACAGGTTATCAGACCTGCTGCCGGCCCACTTGCGTGATGAGCGTATATCGGCGTGTGTTCACAAAGAAAGTGTCACGGGATGGGTCAACACCTTCAAGGCAAAGTAAGTTGTAGCAAGCAAATTGAGAATGTTACTAGGTATGCAAAATCACTTGAAACCTATGTTACAGTTAGGCTTTTACATTTACAAATACATTGGTTTTTATTTCATACAAAAATACCCAGTAGTTATGATTTTATAGGCATTCAAAGTTCGCTTAAATATTGAGTGCCGCCGACGGTCACGTGACCCCGCGTGACGTACATTCACAGTATCCGGTCACTAGAAAATGGATATAAACATACTTAAATACATTTTTTTTGTAAATACAAACTTATTATACATATTAACACCCAGACCCATCACAGAAATTAAAATTGAACCAAACCCAAACTTGATGCGATTGTGTCGTTTTATTGCGAATTACCTTCCAGCTCCATCATTAGACCCTGATTACTATATAGAATTAAAGTACTCGTCAATACAAAACGAACAAACCTAAACTCGATGGATTTAAGTCGTTTTATTATAGAGTTCCTATGGCCACCTTCCAGCTCCATCATCAGATCAGCTCCATGTCATCATAATATTGCATGGTCATCCAAATCACATGTGTTTGCGAAATTTCAGCTTAATCGGTTGCCTGGAAGTGGGTCTTAATTCAGCTTGCAAGATTCCACCCATACAAATATGAGCCAGTCACTGTAATATGACGTCACGCACATAAAATGGCGGGCCGGCCGCCGCCCACACTTTTAAAATTCAATATCTTGGAAACTAATTGACGTATCGAAATAATTCTTTCACGTGTATTTTTTATTTTTAACAGAGAATACAGAAAGCTAAAAAACAAAATTAATGAACATTCTTCATTGTTACGCAGTGTTGAGCTCTCGCTTGATAATAAATTCCAAATATTATTTCAGGAAAGTAGCACAATTAGTCAAAAGGTTACACGAGCTAGGATATTCGTACAGCAACTCTCGTCAACTTTGCGCCGGGGAGTACAGATTCGATCGCGTGTGTCCAAGGTAACTCGCGATTTCTTTCCGATTTGTTTATACTTCTTGGATTTTAAATGCGTATTATTATTTTTCTTTTGTGTATTTTTTCTTTTCAAACTATTGACAGGTTTATTACGCTTCGTCCACCTGAAAGTGTCAACGTAGGGCAACTGGATTTGGTAAAAAATGGTGTCATAGTTCTTCAGGTTAGTTATGAATGTATTGTACACTTGGCAATTTTTTGTTTACTCATTGCTGCAGTAGCAGTAGTTGCTAAATAGTAATGTCTTTTTACTAAAAGGAGCGTGAGTTCTGCGAAGGAGCATCAACCTTATGCAGAGCTTTGCGAGCTAATTCCCTACGAGGTGTGGTGGCTCAGACCCATGCATCTTCACCTCGTTGCTCAGCATATCTCGCCGCTCAACTACGCGAGCTGGCAGCCGTGCTGAAAGCAAAGGCACCGGCCGCGCCAGCCACGCCCGAACTTGGAAAGCTGGTGGTCTTCGGTGCTGGGGATAAGTAAGATATTGTTCTGGAAAATAGACCGACCGCGTCAACTTCATGTAGAACTCTCTAAACGAACTCCCTTCGGGAAATGGTGGTCCAGCCTCACGTGTTACAATATATCCATTGCCATTTTGTGATACCTGGTTGCTTCTTATTTGCTTCTAATTTAAATCGTATTTGGTTGTTGATTTCTTTTTTATTAATATTTATTTGACAAGAAAGCCTTGTTCAAAGCCGTTTCGTCAGGACCTTTTATTTTTAATTCGTATCCAAAGCAGTGAAGAACTCCTCCTTCATTTACCAAGTTATGTATCGCCTTCAGGGTGGAGAGTTACGTGTGTGCTCTCCGTGACCTCGGCATCGAGGCTTCAGAGCTGCCCCACTCGGGTGCTCCCGTGTGCGTCCTCAGCGACCCAGTGCACTGCGACACTCCAGTGGTAACCAACGCACTGGATGGAGTGGTGGCAGTCCTGGCCACACCTCCCAACTCGTATTCGGCAGTCACAGACCCTATTGACCTTGTCTGCGGCAGAGGAGGTGACTTGGCCATGCTAGAGGTAAAACATGTAACCAATGAGGGCTATCGTTTTTATACTTAACAGTTGGCACCCCCCGCGATTGACAGGACCTTACTCTACAGTGGCGCCATCTTGATGAGTGCAAATGCGATAGTCCTCCTACCACTTTCGCGCTCACCAGTTGGTGCCACTGTCTTCGCGACTAGCAAGTGACAGGACCTTACTCTACAGTGGCGCTAACTGGTGAGCGCTAAAACGATAGCCCTCATTAGAAGAACTTGTTTTTTTAAGCTTTGGTACAAGGAATAAATAAATTACTTCCAGATCCTCACGGAATCTGAGATTGATACACATGGAAAAGCTCGAGTTCAGTCGATACTTGAGGAACAGAAAAAAACTTTGAAAACTCTTCTGTCTAAGCCTCAGGTAATGCTGCTCTCATAAATTTTCTACGATTTTAAGAATCTAATAATGTAAATAAGGACTTAAATTGTAACAAAACGTTTTACAGATTCAGCTAATCCTGTATGAAACTCATTCAGCCCTGGAAGCAGAAAACCAGGCCCAAGTGACAAGGGCAGTCGCAGAAGCCAACCGACTGGCGAGGGAGCGCCATGCCTTACTCAAGAAAAAACATAGAGACCATCACCATGTTAGCAACCTTACCTATTCTATCAACATCAATTTTCAAATAAAGATTTCAGCCTAAACATCATCATAAAAACTGTTCTACGTTATTATCCTGCCAGGTAAAAGCAAATGAAGGTCGCATTTCAATTTCAATACTGACTAATTCTTCTTTTCAGAGTCCCAAAAAGGAAGTTGCAGAAACAATCGGCACTGACTCATCGACGTCCTTGGACAACACTGGCACAAGATCTGACGTGGAAAAAGACGACGACGAATTCTCAGTCAGTGACGCGTCACCAAAAGCGAATTCGCCGCCAGCTTCCAGGGGCAGGCCGCCCAGTGGGGAGACGGCGCTGAAGAAACACCCGGAGAGCGCGGACGTCGGCTCCAGACCGGGGACTACGAAAGCCAGGCCGATACCGGAGATGCCTGGCGCCGACGAATCTTATCCACGCGATCCCGATAAAGATAACCCAGACGTTTTTGTAAGTTATTTCAATTACATATTTCTTCTAAATAGGAGACATTTGTTGAGATCTTCTGTTAGGAAATTGGCAGGGGTATTACATTTTGAGCGTTTATTGCAGGTGCCAGATAGTGACTTATTTGAAATATCAACGCTGCCAAATCTAGGAAATGGATTAGATATTAACTATATTTTAGATAGAGACGGTTGCTACCTCGGACTCATTCAGAGGAAGGTTGGTTGTACAAGTTTATTGTTGGAACATTTTCTGTGAAAGCTTCACAATATAACTATCCTCATCTTAGAAAACCGCATACATCTGCTTGTTCAGTTAGCTAGCATGACATCGAAATAAAGCTTTCGATCATTAAATCGCTTACTCCAGCATGATCATATCGTGTAAGTGTAAATACATTAGTCAGATAAATACAGAAGGGTAGGCTGACCGCAGGAGATCACCCGGCTAGACGCGAAGTACATGATCCGAGTGGCGGAGGAGCGTGGGCTGTTTGGACACAACGCTCCGCCGCCTCCTGCCGCTCGTCGCAAGCGACCCGATGCTTCCGCCACGCCGCGGCGACGGAAAGGGGGCAAGAAGCAGACCTTTGAGGTGAGTCTTGTAGTATGGTAGTCCTGTTAGACGCGAAGTACATGATCCGAGTGGCGGAGGAGCGAGGACTGTTTGGACACAACGCTCCGCCGCCGCCCGCCGCGCGACGCAAACGACCCGATGCCTCCGCTACGCCGCGACGACGGAAAGGGGGCAAGAAACAGACGTTTGGTGAATGTTGTAGTTTAGTACTCTTGCTAGACGCGAAGTACATGATCCGAGTGGCGGAGGAGCGTGGACTGTTTGGACACAACGCGCCGCCTCCTCAGTTATTGGGCCCATGGCCGAGTTACCCATTACGCAACTGCCTGGTGTCCCCTCGCTGAAGTTTTCATTAGATGTTTTTTATTCAAACGGGTGAAGACTAAAAGTGGCCTCGAAGATTGTATTGCCATTTGCCAAGGGCCCCCGTCTTGGTTAATCCGGCCCTGATTGGGCCACATGATTGCTATGAGATAGCTAGAGTCATATTCTTTTTGTGATTCTTTTTGTGAACAACCTTGTTCATCATCCTGACAATACGCGATCGCGAACCACTGTGAAGCCTGGAATCGGTTCTATATCAAATGAATGGCGCCAGTTAGAGTCACATTCATTTTGTAAACGCTCTTGTTCGTCACTCTGTCATCTCACATCTTTCCAACCACGGTACGATACTCAAATCACTGTGAGAGAGCCCTCCGCCGTAGGAGGGAAAAATAGCATCGGTTCTATGTTAAATGAATAGTGCGTCACCAACCTCTCATCACACAGGTGGAGCGCGTAGCAGCACCGACATACGCGTCACTCTCCCGCTCCATGCGGCGCGGCAGCGCGCCGGCGTGGCTGGAGGCGGAGGCGCCGACGTCGCCGCGCCGCGTGTGCAGCCGCCACGCGCGCCGCCAGGCCGCCGCCGCCGCCGTCTCCGCCGCCGCCTGCACCTGCGACGCCAGGCACAGGTCAGTGAGTCATTAAAACGGGACTATTCCCACCTCTCGTTCCCACCACTGCAACTCCTGTGTAGCCAGGATCTACAGCTTGATCGCCATAAAAACCCAAACAATGAAGGTCAAGTTTGTCCCGGGGGAAAGTTAAACTGTCATTGGACCCGCAACGAAATTAATCAGAAGAACATAGGAGGAGTTCGAAATTATAAGGTATATCAGTGAGTCATTAGGCAATAGGCACAGAGGTTGCGGAGTTGCTACAGCTGCCTGGACCTGTGACGCGAAGCATAGATCAGCTTCAACCTATGCGTCACTCTCCCGCTCCCTCTCCCGCCGCTGCCGTCTCCGCCGCCGCCTGCACCTGCGACGCCAGGCACAGGTCAGTGAGTCATTAGGCATTCAATAGACACACTATGATGCCGAGTTGCCACAGCCACGGTTTGGACCTGTGATATTTAAAAGGTTCAGAGTTCGGAGTGGAGCAGAAGGCACATACATACAGCCGCCGCCGCCGTCTCCGCTGCCGTCTCCGCCGCCGCCTGCACCTGCGACGCGAGGCACAGGTCAGTGGAGTCATTAGCCATGTTATGTTTCCGAGTTGCCTCAGTTACCGCTCGGATCTGTGACTAGGGGCTCGAAGTGGAACAGAAAGTAGACTTGGACGCGTCGTCTCCGCTGCTGCCTGCGATCACAGGTCAGTGTAGTTATTCGAGCTCGGAGTGGATCAGAAAGCACATACGCCGCCACAGCCGTCTCCATTGCTGCCTGCACCTACGACGCGAGGAAGCAGGTCAGTTTGGAGTCTAGAGTTTCGTCCAGTTAGGGGTTACTATTAGCCACTGCTTGGTCCTGTGATGTGGGACACAGTTTAGCATAAAGTCAGGAGACTCGTCATCTCAGATCAGGCTGTGGCCTAATTAACGTATTTTGACACAGTCAAAATCTTGTTGACGTTTAGAGGTCGTCCTATTGAAAAAACAGTTCTAAATCCGTATTCACAAGGCTCATTTCGATAGAACGATTACTCGATAGGATCGCAACTCAGCGATTTATTATCGTTGAAATTTTGTTACGTGAATAAGGCCACCGAGACTGGTCAGTTAAGAGATGAGTGCCTAAGCTTGCGGCGGAATAGGCACCTACGTTTCTGATGCTATACTTAACCAACGTATGCCATCACTTGCGCTGTGTTCACCTGCTGCTTTCCTGCACGTTTGCAACAGACGTTTGGAACATGTCAGTAGAAGAAACGTGAGGTGCCTACTCTTGGAGATATCTTCACTTATCTGCTGCCACCTGCATGTCTGCCACGCGTGTTACAGGCGGGTTTGTCCTCAAGACAACGGTAAGTAACGACTGAACAACCCAGTATAGTATCATTAGTCAGCTTCATTAACACACAGCAATCAGCTTAGTAGGGCACCTATAAAGCGCACTATAGCATCGTATGTATGGCAGTGCCCCGGGGCGGATGACGTCGGGGCAAGTCTCGCCGCGACGAGTCTGCAGCCGCTACGCGCAACGCCAGGCGGCCGCAGTCGCCGTCTCCGCCGCCACCTGTAATTACGAATCTAAGCACAGGTTTGTTAATTTTGTTGGGTTGCGAGTAGATAGTCTTTATTTATCTGTGTTTAGTAGACAAGCTTTCTACGCTAGATGAGCCGAGTACGAGCTGAGCAAAATCTTGTAGTGTGTATGTGTGTGCCACCTTACGAGCCTCAAACGAGCGCATTTTGAGCGTTTAGCTCGTGCGTGCTCGACCGTGCTCCGCCTATTGTCGGCTTTTTATCGAACACAAAGGGGTTTTCATTGCGCAAAGGAGCGAGTCTCCTTGTACGTCCACACTTGACGCCGCGAGTAGAGCGACTCGGCTTGCACTCAGCTCGTGCTTGGCTCGGTAGTATAGAACCTAAGAAGCATGACGCATAAGGCCCAGAACAGACGGTGAAACGCAACTGCAACTGCTAGTTACTTTTGAGTTGCATCTAAGTTTCTGCCATAGCTTTTGAAACTGGTCAAACTGGTCGCGTCATGTGTGGTCTCTCAACGGAGGCTATGGCAGAAACTTAGATGCAACTCAAAAGTAACTAGCAGTTGCAGTTGCGTTGCAGTTGTTTCACCGTGTGTTCTGGGCCTAAGTCTTGTTTTTTACTCAGAATTGAGCCCAAAATAGGTAAACAGATATTTACTTTTAGAGTATCACACGATGTTATGTCCTCGATTCTTCCAGGCACCACCAGCAGCGGCGCGCGTCGGCCGACGTAGCGGCGACCCCGCGGCCGCCCACCCCGCCCTGCCGCCGCCCCTTCCCCCTGGTCGTCCACGACCTGCGGCTTAAGACCGTCGTGCCCCACCAGAAGGTCACCGTGTAACCGACTGGTACTTGACACCTGTCACCGGTTGACAACTAACTGACAACTGGTCGACTTTGTCAATGAGGGCTATCGTTTTTATACTTAACCCTCGCTGTACGAGGTGGGGTGTGACACACCCCAGTCCTTTAAAAATAGCCACAATTTTAAAAATTTGCAAGTGCTGAATTTGAAATTCTCAGTAGCTGGAATTATGACACTGCTGCTTCGATCAGCGTTGCAAAATCAGTCCAGCGGTGACTACCAACTGAGTTACATGCCTTTAAAGTGCGTGTGGGTGTCACACACCCCACCTGGTACGGGACGTTGTTAAAAAGTTTTAAAAAAAATCTGACAGTTTTGGTGTAATTTATATATTTTTAGCTTTGTCAATTGAATAAAATTCAATACAAATATTATTTTTCATGATTTTTACGGTATCTGAAATTTTCAAGCACTTTTAGTCAAATGAGATGACTTTTAGTGCGAATCTGGAAGTTTAGTACTGAGATCCGAAGATGTATGTGAACATAAACTTATGAGCTAAAATTTATACTTGGTGATACAATTTATGGGCTACTGAAATGGAATAACATATTTTATAAATAAATAAAATTGTTACGCTCCCATTTTATGCATTGAGCATACTCATTTTCTTTCATCAGAATTGTGGTAAATTGAAAACCGATGATCAAAACAAATTTATACCCTTCCAGTTTTTAATTTACTTTTAAATTATAAGTAAATACTTGTACTTTGTTAAATAAAAACGGTTGTCATAATTAAAGGCACTAATTAAAAATTATACATAGGAAACTGATTCCTAAATTACAAGAACAACGGAAATTGTGTCTTTTTGTTTTTTTATGATAAAAATGTTATAATACATATTTTCAGCTCAGAGCATTTCTTAAACCTAATTAGCATACGTAAATAATCAATATTAAATATTCAATTCCACCTAAAAAAATGTTGAATGAAAATTTTATCACTTTGTATATTGGGGTGTGTCATACCCCACCTGGTACGGGACGTAACTTTTAGTCACCTCGTACACGGAGGGTTAACAGTTGGCACCCCTGGCGATTGACAGGACCTTACTCTACAGTGGCGCCATCTTGATGAGTGCAAATGCGATAGTCCTCCTACCACTTTAGCACTCACCAGATGGCCACTGTCTTCGCTACTAGCAAGTGACAGGACCTTACTCTACAGTTGTTGTCGCAGGTTGGCCGTAGTAAGGACAATCTGGCCAGGTGGGGATTCTTGGATGGCTTGAACATGGAGTGCAGGTGCGGTTTTGTTCCCCAGTCGATGAGGCACCTGATGTCATGCCCTGAGTGCCCAAGCAACTGCACTCAGGAGGATTTGATGAGTGCTACTGACAACGCCACTCTTGTGGCGGAGTTTTGGGCTGACACTGTGTAGGTTTGTTGTCGACACGAAAAGAAGAAGACTCTACAGTGGCGCAAACTGGTGAGCGCTAAAACGATAGCCCTCATTATACAAAACGCTGTTTCAAAATAGTGACGCGCTGTTTTACATAGTTTTGTTTCTCTAAAGTATTTTCAAAATAAATATATTTTTAGACTTAACGCGTCTTTTTATAGTGGTTTTCAATAGTTCTTGTGATTGGTGTCAAATACCTGATCGTGAGGTTTTCTTGCAGAACTTAATTTTTATTAATAGCACCGAGGCGTATTTGGTTTACAACCTAACTACGCTTTTTCATTCGGATTTCATCACAATTGAAAGTGTAAAACCGGTTATAGTCCCGAAAAAGGATAATTCAAGCGAACTATTTATAGTGCTTCATTTGCTAAGCGGTATTTAATAGTAAGGAATCAATTTTGCGACAATTATAAACGTTTAGATCACCATCTACTTAAGTAGTTAGCGGTAAAGAGTTCCTATTACAATATTTTTGTGTTACTTTAGATTTATAACTGTGCTTTTATAGATTTATAACTTTCAATATTTATAGTTTTAATTACATTTTTATGCAAATAAACATCAAAATTAAATTATCGTTTCATTATTATACAACATCGTAATAATTCCTTATAACTCAAAAGTTCGCAGGCGACTGTTGCGAAACTTTTTAGGTTCTTAGTAGGTAGGTACTTATAAAATTTTCAAGCGACTGATTTTAAAAGTTGTAATAAGTAACCAAATAAAAACTCAAACAATTGTATAAATAAAACAAACTTTAATCAGTAATGTTTACAGGCCATCATCGTGGCTTCACAACAACGTTTATATAAGCGCGTCAAAGCATACCGAAGCCTTTGGAGTAGCTGATTGCTTTCATGAGGCGGTCGCGGAGTTTCTCCTTCGAGTCGTATTCTGGCAGGAGTAGCACATTGAAGCATGTATGGGCTGTAGGAAGTCTTTCACAGTCGGGGCCATGACGTGCTACCACCAGCTTTAAATAGCTCAATCCACCAACAGGCACGCGGTCCGAGCCAGTGGTAAACTCCAATAGCTTTCGTTTCTCGTCCAGAGACAAGCTGTGCACGATGCTCCAGAAATCCTTGATTATTTTCGACTCGGCCGTGTACCCGCCGTCGTATTCGGTGGACTTCTCTAATTCGTTGAAGTCGAAGTTCTGGAAAGATTTGTGATGTTTCAGTTCGATGTGTGTGATGTTCACTTGCTGTCTGTCAAGACTTTATTAACATACTAAAGCCTGGTCCGTGAGCACGTAGAATTTTGTCCAATGACCCCAAGCTACCCATCCTTATCGCTCGAGCGTAATTATATTGCTGTCGCGACTGTGCGACGGGCGCCCGCAGTGAGTGTGCGAGCGCGACAGCAACAGAATTACGGGCGAGCGATAAGGATGGGTAGCTTGGTGTCATTGGACCAAATTCTACGTGCTCACGGACCAGGCTTTAGTGTTGTCGAATAATCGTTTAACTAATTAATCGATGTTTAATTTAACTACATAGTAATAAGTATCGATTATATCGATGTTTTTTGTGTAATTGAATGTGTTTCTTACCTTGCTACCGCACACGAGAGTCTCGACCTCCTCGGGCCTGAAGAGCGCCGAGAGAGGGCTTTCGTCCGTGACCATCACGAACCCACGTCTAAATGCTTTGAACTGTGTCTCAACCGACTTATTTAGTAAGAAATCTGCGTATAAATCTACGAATTCCTAAAACAAATTACAGACAAATAATAAGTGAAAACTCCGACAAAGTTGACAACATATTGGGACGTTTAAAAGTGATTTTTAAAAGCCTACTTGCAAAAATAAATGAGTTTTAAAGATAAAAAATACTTGGAAGTTTTTTTGGTTATCTATAAGATCTAAGGAACACCATAAAAGTTTGTTTGCTATGATAAAAAAATGTACAAAATGATAGCACAAATAGAACCATCTAATAAAATACTTACTTGTTTATTATCTTGCGTAACAAATATACTATCTCCATCTTTCTTCAAGTCATGGAATATATTATTGCCGAACACATCGTTGTAACATATCCTGAACGTCTGGTAGTACACTTCTTCTAAATCATCACCAGTATATTCAAGCATATCTTTTAGACCATTGTATAAAATCTGAAATACGAAACAATACGCTATAAATAAAGTCAAGTAAATACTAACAAAAATTCATAAGCATTAAAATGCATAAACATAACTACTGAAGCATCAAGTGGCAAAAATCTGAACTAATATAGAAGAACTACACTGAACTGTCTTTTATTTGTCACTGACAGGGGGGCCACCGTCAATAGCGGATCGCTGGTTCCGACTTTTGCCACGGTGGAAACCATGTAGTTGAACGAAGATGGTGGCGCCCTTCTGTCACTGTCAAATAAAGGACAGTGCAGCGAAGTTCTATAACCCAGTATTGATAGTAGCGCCCTCCCGTCAATGTCGTAACTGGAACACTTTAGTTCCAAGCCGTGAGTACATAATGTAACTCATTAATAAACGTCGCGTTAAGTTAAGACCCGTGTCTTACTATTTTAGTTGGGACACTTTAGTGTTAGTTACCCAACTATAACAAATCGAACCGTCAAAGGGGGCGTCTTTATGACTGCATAGTAAAACAAATGAATATGAATAGATGTTTCTTGTAAGGTGCCATTTGTCAAGTCGATTATAAAACAATGAGAACTCACAGGATTCCAATCAGCTAAGTCTTCAAACGAGCCTTTCTTGCCCATCAGTTTTCTGTACACGACCATGGGGAAGTCCACGGCCAAAATGACGTTGTTGTATATCGCGAGTCCCAGCACGATGCCGATGAGCGTGAACTGCGCTTCTGTCTCGAACGATGTGGGATTGAACCTGAAATTTTAAACCAAACTTAGCGATTCTGAACCTTATGGCTTTAGGAAATAAGAATAGAATAAAAAAACGTTTATTTTGCTGCCATATGAAAACACGTAGTACATAGAACATGAGTCAACATGACAGAATCAGTAAAAAAAAATAAGACACATTTAAGTTTAGAGCTTGTATGATCCATTGATAAAAATCTTTTTCTATCGAGTGTTGTATCAACTGTTGTATAAACTAGTGTCAGTCAGACTTAACGACCTGCCCTATTTGCCAGATAATGGTAATCGTATCGATTACTTCCTAAACTCAGAATCTTATTTCTTTTTTTCGAACAATCAAGTTGATTCAAGCTTGATAATCGCCCGTATTAACAAACATTACTATGAGGTGTCACAGTGCGTGTGGACGCACAGGGTGACACACGAACCAATCGCAGAGCTCTATTCAACGCTGTGCGTTCGATTTGTTGTTTCACATAAGCAAGGATCGTTTGTGAATAGGGGCGAATGTTTAATGCCTTGTAACCAAATGGACAATTTGACACCATTCTCCAATAATTCGAAATCACAACTTTTCTAAAACGACACTTCATTGTGGTCTTAAAAACTTAATTAATTTTAAATTACCTGTAAATTACGATTTTTGGTCGTATTGTAATTGTAAAAAGTAGTTTAATTGAGTTGACAAAATAGTGACGTCACTCGCTTGTAGTGCCATACAAAATCTATGTGAGAGTTTCGTTTTGACAGTTTTAAAAAGTACGTCAATTGATTGATGGTGTCTATTTAATTGGGATTTGGGAACAAATACTTTTACACATGAAGTCTTAACAAAGGTGACAAGTCTACGCAAATAAACTAAAAATTCTTTCTAAATACTCACCAAACTTGAGACACTGCGGTATTTCGGACGTGAGTATATCGCGAAGCTTCCCGAACGCTGCCCATCCGAATTGGATTCGACGATTGACCTCTTTCTCGAAGTTGGACCTACCTATGGACTACCGGGCTAGAAGATGTAGCGTGGGCAGGCCTCCTACTAGGTGGACCGACGATCTGGTAAAGGTCGCGGGAAGAGCCTGGATGCGGGCAGCGCAGGACCGTTCATTATGGAAAACCTTGGGGGAGGCCTTTGTCCAGCAGTGGACGTCATTTGGCTGAAACGAACGAACGAACTCACCAAACAGTATGCGAGTCGGGCTGCTGCGTGAACATGCCATAGTCCGGGTTGAATATCTCCTCGACTATGAGCTGGAAGAACTCCTTGCTGACGCCTCCCTCGTCCACGCCCTGTTCCCCCTCGAATTCCACCACCAGTTGCTTCTTTAGGTCGAGCACGCGCTCCATTGCTACCATTTCCAGCTGTGGAAAATTGGAGATTGGCAATTAAAAATGAGCTTTAAGGTTCATTCAGTATAGTTGAAATTCGTAACTGGAGATAAAGGGTGTTCTTAAAAAGAGGTACCTACATACTTTTGATTCCCTAGTTTGTGGAGTAGGTTGAAATACAAGATAAAGAGGGGTTCTCAAACTAGTGTACGCAATCCTAAGCGTGAGGTTGCACCAACTTATTTTAAACGTAACATTACCAGTAACCGGTGTTTTTTGTATGGAGTTTGACAGATTTTTGACGTAGTTAAAGTAAAATGGTGCAACTCAGCCTAAGAGATTCGCCCAGTGAGCGTGAAGGGTAACAGCGATTGTTAACTCGCTAGCGTAATGAGGGTTTTCGCGAATGATTGGTGGATTTTGACATATCTGTCAATGTCATGTCAAAAATAACCAATCATGCAGCATTTGGACCTCGCGTCTACGTATTGCCACCTGGCGGATTTTTCATACGCGAAAACCCTCATTGACACCAACGTTTAAGTTACCAAAACAGCACCACTTGCCGCACATTAAATTGATAACGTTTAAGTTATCAATTTAATGTGCGGCAAGAAACAATCCTAAACAAAATCAATTTGGAAAGACGAGTTGTTGAAGCCTGTAGGGCCTCGCTATCACGCAGTATAGATTCGCGGCCTGTGGGGTCTCACTTACCTCCACGAGCGCGTCGTCGATGATGTGTGAGCGGCGAACTTTGAGCCGTAAGAATGGCATGGGCGGCGCGGCTCCTACAACCGCGTGTAACATTGATACGCGGCGCTCGCTGAGCATGCGAATTCGGTTCTCGTAGTATAGTCCGAGCGACTTGCTTGCAGCGGTCAGTATGAACGGGTACTTTAGGAACGTGAACTTTTTGCCTGCAACGGGGAGAGGTGTTAATTAAATTGTCTTGAGAGGTGGGTTACAAAAAATTGAGTGGTAAAGTCGGAACGCATCTGTGGCCTAATTCACGTATTTTGACAGTCAAGATCTCGCTGACGTTCAGAAGACATCCCATTGAAAAACAGTTCTAAATCCGTAATCACAAGGGTCATTTTTATAGACCGATTACTCGATAGGATCGTAACTCAGAGTTTTGTTGTCATTGACATTTTGTTACGTCGTCCCATTGAAAAACAGTTCTAAATCCGTATTCATAAGGGTCATTTGAATAGAACGATTACTCGATAGGATCGCATTCAGCGATTAGTTGTCGTTGAAGTTTTGGTACGTGAATGAGGCTGCTGAGCAGTATAGCGCTGCGCTGAACGTCAGTTACTAAGCAACGATCGTCGTTTCAGCGCCGTACTTTTGTATCACATACCATACAAAATATAAGAAATGAAACTTACCATTACTTAACTCCGTTTTATAATTCGCAAAATCTACTTCCATTTCTATAGTATCACTTAGGGGTTCGTTGTAAAATTCCTCAAATGGCAAATAAGGTTTTCTAGCGTCTAATACATTTAAATCTAATTCAATAGCTGAAAACAAAAAAGAACCAGATTAAAGATTTCTCTACAAAGTTATATACACTTCAAAATTTCGATTCAATGTCGTGTTTGCATCACTACGTGTTGGACGCATCGAAATCTAGTATTGTATCTTAAATAGAGTTGAAATCTAAACAGATTCATAAAATGTAAAAAATAGATTGTATCTCAAATACTCATCAAAATAGGGGCAAATTAACCTGTCGCTTACCTAAAGGGTCGTCAGGTTGCGAGTGCTTCGAGTTCTTAAGCGAGGAGAATTGGTAAATGTGATCTAAAACGTCCCCTAGGGGGTCTAATTGACTTGCTATGACTATGGGCTCTTCCCGCAGCGTATTGGGCTCCATCGTCCCGGCGAGCATGTTCGCGTAGTATAATATCTGGAAAGAGAATTATGCGCAAAAAGTAAGATAAAAGGTACACAAACAACACTATAATGAGGGCTATCGTTTTATACTTAACACTAGAGTACACGCGTGGCCTACTATAGTAGACCAGGGTAACATTTTACGCTATAACTTTTTAAAAACATGCGCCAGAGAGCTGGCATTCCAGGAAAGCCTCGTTTACTAAATTTGTCAATAAGCCAGTAAAGCTTGGGTCGCCAGCGCCTGCGCATTTTTCTAAAATTGGCCGTCAAAACTGCGGTTCTACTCAATAGCCCGAAATCACTCGACAAAAAAATTATGGAAGACTTGCAAAAAATGGATTTACCCCATGTACCAGGTAGAAGAAAGTCTTGAATACTATGAAAGATAAAAAACAAATCATATTTTTTCAGTAAATATTTTTTTTGCTAACATGGTTCTCAGAGTGCAATTTTGGTCCAAAAAATTTACAAATTTTAAATCCGTTTATAATTTTTGATCCCAAATAGTTTTATAAAGAAACTTTGATGATAAAAGAACTATGATGAACACCTTTATTATTTACATAGTAATTTTATTCATAAATTGCTTACAAACTGATTTACAGTGATTTTAAATTGGCTTACCAGAGTAGGCCGCGCGTGCATTGGTGTAAAAAAAGGGGCGCGTGTACTGTAGTGTTAACAGTTGGCACCCCTGGCGATTGACAGGACCTTACTCTACAGTGGCGCCATCTTGATGAGTGCAAATACGATAGTCCTCCTACCACTTTCGCGCTCACCAATTGGTGACACTGTCTTCGCTACTAGCAAGTGACAGGAACTTACTCTACAGTGGCGCTAACTGGTGAGCGCTAAAACGATAGCCCTCATTGTACATCTGAATCATCATCATTAAAAAAATCAAAACAATTATTTTTATTACAACGACAAGGTTTTGCCTTTGGCCAATGGCTAGCGATGTATCTATCTACGTTAGTGCAAGCTAGTATCGTCAATTTTTTAGGATACGTCTTGAGACGTAACAGCGACTCCAAGCGCCTTGGGCAAAGGGCACTAGACCAGGCTGCGCGAATGTTCGCCAATGCGGTGAACAGACCAGACCTACACTGTGGGCGGTCTCTTGCATCAGCGCACCGAGTTAACCACCAACAACAGAGAAAGATGGCGAAATATCGTAAGGCGAGCAAAATAAGCTCACAAAAATCACAGTTCACGACTATAGTCTTGTGGCGACATCTACGATACGCCACTACAAACGTGTACCAACAGATGGCGCTGTTACGACTGCACTATGGCACACTCCGCCGCTCATACAAACCTGCATCGCGGTGACGGAGTTTTCTACCCTGCCAAGTACATATAGACAAACCAAGATGGTGTAAATTGGACCTTGGTCCCCGAGCACAACACCCGCTCGGAAGGAAGCACTAACATCTAGCTTCCTTATTGTGGTTGAGCATCATATCCCACAGTCTCAATGGTTATACTCTTAACAGAATGAAGAGGAGCGTCACACACCTTCATGAGCTTGGTGGCCATGGTGACGGCGTCGTCGTCCTGCAGCTGGAAGTGGCTGGTGTAGTTGGTGGAGATGACGCGCAGCGTGATCAGCTGCTGCAGCGTCTCGAGGATGTGCCGCAGGCTCGCGCGGCAGTGCGTCGCCCACGTGCGTGCCAGCCGCGCTTGCGCTAACACAAACAAGTATAAATATTGTAGCCCTTCAAATACTAGCGAATCTAGACACAATAACGGGCAAAATACGGATCTGAGACGTGGTCGGTTACTATGGGCCTCATAAGAAAGCTCAAAGTCACCCAAAGAGCGATGGAGCGTGCTATGCTCGGAGTTTCCCTGCGTGATCGAATCAGAAATCAGGAGAACCAGAGTGACTGACATAGCCCGCAGAATCGCCAAACTCAAGTGGCAGTGGGCGGGGCACATAGCTCGGAGAGCTGATGGCCGCTGGGGCAGGAAAGTTCTTGAGTGGCGACCACGAGCCGGAAGACGTAGCGTGGGCAGGCCTCCCACTAGGTGGACCGACGATCTGGTGAAGGTCGCGGGAGGTGCCTGGATGCGAGCGGCGCAGGACCGGTCTTTGTGGAAATCTTTGGGGGATGCCTTTGTCCAGCAGTGGACGTCTTTCGGCTGAAACGAACAAACGGGCAAAAAGGAACGCGCAATCCTCATCACGCGTTGTTTCCCGCTGCTTGAGATGAAAACCAGCTTCTTGACGTGACGTTTGTGTCATGAATGACGCGATCTTAGCTAAACGGGCGCTTCTTCAGCATGTAGCTTATTTTTAAGAAATGTGTACTGCAACTTATTTTTTTCAACTATCTTACACAATAGAAATCAATTGTTACCACGGGCTCATGCACCCATTTACGCCGGGTTGCTAGGGTTCCACGAGATAAAGAGGAGAGATTTGTTTTTATTATTTTATCGGCGCAGTTCTTTATGGTAACGCAGTTCACCAATTTACAAGTCATGACTTCTATCCTGTAGAATCTTGGAAAGCTTCCAAGATTTTTTTCAAAACAAAAATACCACTCACCTTTAACTGGCAAATGCTCGGCGGCGTGGCATAACGCCGGCAAAGCTATCTCCAGGTAATCGCTACAGCCTAAGTCGGGCACCTCAAACGCTATCACGAAGCAATTCACGGCATCTTCCATGCTCATCTTCTTGGTTATCCGTAGGTCGATCTCGAGGCTCTCCGCTAGCGTTGTTAACGCTGTGACCAATGCTGAACTATAGTATTCTGATGGCACCTGTTTGGAAGGCAAACTAATAATATTAATAATAATAATATCCTTTGATAATAATATCCTTGGACATTTAACACTGCGCTTCTAGTCCCAAACTAAGCAAAGCTTGTACTATGGGTACTAGACAACGGATATAAACATACTTAAATACTTTTTTTTTTTGTAAATACATACATAATATACATAGAAAACACCCAGTCCAATACAAACAAATATGTTCATGAACACAAATGTTTGTACTGTGCGGGAATCGAACCCGCTACCTCCGGAATAGTAGTCCGTTTCGAACCACTACACCAAACGGCCGACTAGTTACATAAATGTAGAAAATGAAGACTGAAAATTACACTATCATCGAGCTAACTGCGCATCTCGCTGAAATACGACTCTTCATCGCACTCACGCACACACCTCCCCGCGTTTGCTTTAAGCGTTGATGTGACGTCACGGCTGCCAGGTGCGCAGTCAACTCAATCGGGTTGTACCACAGAATAATAATAAGTACTACGTACAGAAGTTTTACTTCGCGAAGGTATTTAAAAAAATGTATGCTCAATGTCATTAACAATATGGTGTAATTTAGCCTGTCTCAAGAGTCAAGCACCATTTTGTTGACAAACGTCAGTGATCGGCACTGCGCCGAAGCTATAGGGCTGGCTGACTTCGGTAAAATGATGTGACGTGAGGTGCCAACTGCGGAAAATGGCGGAGGAAATATTATATGATTTAGCATGAATTATCATGAATAATATTAACTACTTATTTACCTCTCTGTGTCTTGAGGCAACTTAAAAAAGTACATTCTGTATTTTTATTATTATTTAGGCAGTTAAATACTGCACAGTATTTAGCACACAATTTTCTTTATTTTCTTCCATCATACACAAGAATACGCGTGCGTGAGTCAATGTTCGCTCGTATGTGAGGCCTTGTCGAATAGTATCCTGTAGGTGGGCCATCGTGCGTGTTTTGTTTTCGATGTAAACTCGCGGAGATGAACAAGCCTGGTTGTACTTGCTGCTTACGTTTTACAAAGGTAATTTTTATGAACAAACCACACGACAGGTTGTGAATATTATTATCAATGTCACTCATATTGATAGCTTAAGGCAGGAATCACATTAACCGGCGCGAGTCGGCGCGCAGCGCAGCGTAAAAATGTGGTAGAATGCGCGCGTCTGCCCGCGTATCCGCTGGAATACGCTCGGAGCCGACCGGCTTCCGACGCATGCTTGCGCAGCCGTCCGGATTGAAATGTCAGTTGATCAGTTGTAAGCAATTACGACTCGAAGAACTGTTGACAAGGCAGGACTCACATTGACCGGCGCGAGTCGGAGCGCAGCGCAGCGTCCGTTCAGTTAAAAATTCGGTGGAATGCGCGCGTATCCGCTGGAATACGCTCGGAGCCGACCGGCTTCCGACGCATGCTCGCGCAGCCGTCCGGATTGAAATGTCAGTTAATCAGTTGCAAGGGATTACGACTCTAAGAACTGTTAATAAAATTCTATTTTCTTTACGGCCGTGTAAGTGCGCTCCGACGCGCTCCGCCGCGCGCCGGTCAATGGACATCGTGCCTAAGGGTTTTGGATTAAATTGCAGTTGTTTAACTTACTTTAGCAAGGTACTGGAAAGCCCTACGACATGAAGCCACGTCTAGCTCAGGCCCCGCGACGCTGTCGACGTCCTTGTCCGGATCACTCGAGGAACACATTGCTTTTGATTCTTTATCTAAAAGTAGAATAGAAACTTTATGTATGTAACAATGAAGATAAATATTAACTTCATAATAGTACAGTAGAATCTCGATTATCCGGATATCCGATTATCCGGACTCATTCTTCACGGTTTCTAATTATCGATTCAGGGTCTGGACCCATAAAAACCGAAGGCGCCGCCACCGTAACAAGGTACGGACGTCTTCTTAGTTCATTGTTAATAGAAATGGATGGCCAATGGTCTAAAATTTAGATTTTTAGACTCTAAAATGATGTATTGAAAACCCTTTCTATTGTAAAAAGTTAGTTATTGTTTGATTTTACTTTGAAATCGATTATTCGGATTTTCGATTATCCGGAATACCCCTGGTTTTAATTGATCCGGATAATCGGGATTCTACTGTACAGTCAACCTGGATAACTTTGCCCATCATAACATGTAACAATGGCTCAAAAAATAATTGCGAATTTAGCACTTTTTCACTTTGATTTCTTATATCGACTGCAAAAATCAGTCCAGTGGTTTTAACTATGACTTTTGACTGTGAAATGTATAACTTACCTGCTTTACAAACTTCATTACTACTATCAGGTAAGACCTTGCTTTGAAAACACCTCGCTAATATAGCTGGCTGCGTAAACGCTTCTCCTAACGCTCTAACTAGCGGCTGCGGCAGTTTCGTTAACAGGCACTCGTCGCACAACTGGTAGATCCTTTCTTCGGTGAGCGGCGCTCCATCTAGCAACGACAGAATTAACGTATCAAGCTCGTTTATCAACATCTTGACCTTTTGACTGGTTGACAGCCTCTCTCTACTTCTTCTAGGCATGGTTGACTTGACACTTGATATAATGTGACTACTAAAATTTAAATCTACCAAAGGCTTTTATAACATTTTCAACTAATTAGGTGATGAAGGGTCTCACTTAGGTAATTACATTTTTAATTGAATCCTTTCAAAGTATAAAAAAACACTTAGTAAATACAAGCAAAAAGACAAAGTATAAGTACATTAGAAAATTGAAGATATTAGATAATTGCCAATTATTAAAAGTGATTTAGAAAAGGAATAAATAGAATTTCCTTGTCTGAGACATCACTTTGTTGATAGCTAAGTACTTGTTGCCATGTGGTAATTATTATCATGGTATTTTTCAGAAATAATACATTTTAAGAAATGTAATTAGGTAGTATCATAGAGGCATTATTAAGCATAGTAACTGGTGTAAAGTAGTTAATTTAGGATGTCTGTGACTCATTGTTATTCAACAGAAGAATTAAACAACATGTACTTGACTGACTGATAATACAGATTGTAGAATAAATACCAACAGTTATATAAATGTACCTAATTAAACCAGTAGGATTTGTTTATTTACATTTATTATATTGCTAACTCTAAACGATATCGTTCAGTTTCAAGATTTGTGAGAAAAAGACTTATGAAAAAAAAAAAGTAATAAAAAAATACTTAAACTTACTATTATGACAACTAACAGTTTTATTCTCCTCCTGAGATGCATTATGACTAGTTTGGGGTTCCACCACTCCGGAGGTGCTCTCTTGGACTGACGCAGAGCTGGACGTTGGTGAATCAATTATTTTATTTTTGTTATCTACCTTCTCCATTGGTTCTGTTATTGAACATGTTGTGCTGAAATTATACAATAATATGAATGTTTAATAACTATTCATTGCAATAAGCAGGTGATTTTTTTAACCCTTTACCTACGGGCTCTTGGAAACCAAAGTGCGCATCTCAATATGGGGTATTTTAACCTACAAAATTGTTTGCTCCACTGTACATCAAGATATTTTAAAAAGTATGAGACTTACGGTATTAAAATTTGGAATATTATATTCTGCAACTAATGTAGTTTCATAATTACAAGCACATTTTACACTTAATTTGCAATTTTATTGTTTTTTAGTCGTAAACCATGATTTAGTATTGGCTTTTCCAAAACAACAATAAATGCCACCCGTATTGAGAAGTGACTTTTGACTTTGCAACAATAGGTGCCTCCCGTATGTAAGAGGTTAAAGAAAAAAATAAAATAAAAAGGTTTTAACAACGTGTTTGGCCTTACCTAGCACTAGATTCACATGTACTTGCTTCTGTCCTTGGTACTTTGTTGGGCAGGCTGTCACACAATCTGGCTTCCTTGTAAAAAAGTTTGATAGCTTCGGCTGCAGCTTCATTTGGTGTTAAATTCCTTGCCTACATAAAAATAGCACTTCAAAACTGTTTTTCATACAAATTACTGGAAAAGTTTACAATACATTAGGTTGTTTACCTCTCCACTTGAGGCACAGTACTGGTTGTCACAATTGGGGTTCCCACAGCCATCCAGTAACTGGTAAAAATACCTCTCAATCAACTGCTTAGCGGCCGCACGCTTCATAATGTCCTGCGTGTTGTTTGAATCTGCTGATGTGCATAAGCTTGAAGTAGGCTGACCTTCAGAAAAGTTTGGGGCTATATTACTGTTTGACGATGATGCTTCGTTCCCCCTAAAATCAAACAAACTTAATTTAACCTAAGCTCCGAACACGATTCTCGATTCTTCATCGAAACATCACATCAAAACAAAGAACAAAAATAGCAAGTAATGCATAACCTAACCTTTGTCTGCCAATTACGCAGCAATTAATTACAGCGCGTTTATTTTATTGTTTTGTAGCTTTAATTTTAACACGACAATACTGCGATGTCTATAAAAATATCTAACGACAAGAAAATCTCGGAAAAGTTACCTTGAAGCTTCGTCAGTTTCACTTTTTGAGTTCATAGAAATTAATCCTTCTCAGTTACCGAGCACTTTCTATGTTATAAAATAATTGTTATAAATGCAATAAATCCGAGACATTCACTAGTTTCAGGTTCCTGAATGTTTTCACAAAATAAACTTGGTTTTTGGGTACACAAAAAATTGTTCCTGTTCTACAATCTGTCAACCATTTTGAACTAAGGCAGTTCGTTACACGTACTTATCACACATAAAATAGATTTTCGTTCCTTATCACTTTTCACGCTTAGCTAGAAACGGTGAAACAGAACGTACTTTTGACATTTGGCCAAATTGTCAAGTCCATATTCTTACACTGAGCCCCGATTACGGTAACTTTTAACGTCAACAATCCAGACACGCTTCTCGATTCTGCGATACGATTGGTCGTTCAACAGCGTACGTCAGCTGTTTTGACCAATCGTATCGCAGAATCAGAAACGCGTCTGGATTGTAGACGTTATAAACGTTACCGTAATCGGGGTTCTGGGCAGAAAGTAGTATTTCAAGCACGTAATTAATTAAAACTATAGTGTACTAGGGATGTGCAACATTAACAAAAATATCGATCTTATAGCAGGGATAATGTAGGACATTGTAAAATAATATTTTTTAAGTCAGTCAAGAATTTTCGGAGAATAAGCCTATTCAATGCAAATCAACGCTAAGCATACCTTTTGCTTACTTATAAAACTGTAAATTCTTAAACTTAAATTTTTGTTTATATTTCTTCTTTTATTTCTGTAAACCAATTACACAATATGTAATTTGTTTTTAGTGTAGCAATAAAAATATTTCATTTTCAAACAATAAAAAAATCAAGTCTTTCTTTCTTTCTGAAGTGTAGATGTACTTACGAGTGTATAAGCGCAAACACAATAATTATTTGAGTAATTCCTAATCTTATTAGTGTACCATTTAGTATTCTTCATATGTTTTCCAAGTCGTATAATCAGGTTCATGCTGTTTATCTTTATTTACAATAAACATATTTTTTTAAAAACTAACGCAAACTTAACTCTAAACAAAAAAAATATATTATAAACTTATTTATTACTTAAAAATAAAAGTGTGTCCGCGAGGCAAAGAGGCGAGGATGCTAGCTGCATTTCCTCGCTGGATAGCAATACTAATCCTTTGAGCAAGGAAAGATCCAGCATTTAAATTTTCCGAAATTTTAATTAATTTAGGGGAAACAGTAATTTAGTAATCGGTCTCAGCTCAGGGTCCGAAGGTCTAGACCACAAAAGGCGCAAGTATGTAATCATTAGAAAGTGACTCATATTTGCGCCGTTTGGCTAATTACATTACACTGTAGCTCAAGCTTTAGCAACTGATTCCCTGAGGTGTGAAGGGGCTAAAGTATCGACACATGTAGCGTCTCAAACTAAAGGCCGTCCCCGTTCCCAGGGAACCAGAGTGAGACTGTCAGGTTTCTTCATCATGACGGACCAATCCACGTGCTTTTAACGTGGAAGAAATGTTGATGCTGGCAAGGGCTCTCCTGATGGCATCGTTGAGAGCAGCGTGTCGGGCGAGACAACCAGCACTTTGCTGGCAACAGAGACCGTAGTTCATGCTTAGACTACAAATACCCCTTGTTATCAAAATAATGTCTTAAATTTACTTAATGATCATTGCGATGGCTTTAAATCACGTAAAAAGTTAGATGCATCATATCGATCGATAATTACAGCATCGGTATATTTATATACCTCCCTCCCTAGCGCTGTAACAATCTGTCAATGTCAGTCAGTCATGGTGTTTTATTGATTTCGTGGTGATTTTTGTTGTGATTTACTATATTAACTGTTTTGCCTTTCCAATTCCATTTTAGTTCCTCAGTTCTAAACCGAGTGTCAAGTGTTTTACAAGTATTTTTAATGGCTGGAGTTATGATGGAAGTTGCGTCTGCAGAGGAGAGCAAGCAGAGGCGTGTCGAGGACATCCTGAACGGTTTCCAAGTGTATCCTTTTCAACAACATACTTTACATTAATCAATATTTCATGTACCTACTTTACGTGTATAAAATGAAAATTTTCATCAGAGTACTGTTAGTAGGTAATTTAATAGGTAACATTAAAATTTTGTTGTGGATTAAATTTCTCTGTGATAAAATATGTTGCAACTTATTGAGATAAGTATGCATTAATTACACAAATTAGATGCTCAACCAACATTATAGAGAGGGGCTGATTTGATAAAAATGTCATTTTTTTTAATTATTGTTTGTGCACTTTAAATAGGTATTATTTCCTTAACTCACATTCAATACAGGAATTGGATGAACTTGCGTGATGGAGATACAGGTTAGTAATATTTCTAATCCTCAAATCTGAAGCTTTCTTATATTGTTATTTAATTTAATCCCCACATCAAACTCATAATAAAATATTTTTACAGGGAAAATCCTGTGGCAGTACAATGAGGACTTGTCCAACCCTCAGGTGGAACATGAAGCAAGAGTCCCCAAGCGGATCTTGAAGTGCCGGGTGGTATCAAGGGAGATGAACTTCAGCTCCACCGAGACAATGGAAAAGTTCCGTTTGGAACAGGTGAGTGTTGAAACATTTACGTTTGTCCTTAATGGAGATCAATCTAGTTTTTGTAAGAAACTTAATAATTTTTACATTAATTTGACATCTATCTGTAAGGCTCTTCTCTTCTTACTTGTTAGAAATGACAATGACAAAAAAGTATTACTTGTTATTTGGGGCATCTACTTACTTTTTCATGTAAATCTTTTACAGAAAATCCTGTTCAAGGGACGTTGCCTTGAGGAGTGGTTCTTCGAGTTCGGCTTTGTCATCGCTAACTCTTGCAACACCTGGCAGTCGGTGATTGAGTCTGCACCTGAGTCACAGATGATGCCTGCCAACATCCTCAAGTGAGTATGAAAACAATGTTTCAATAAATGTAAATAATAATGTGCTAAGCGAATTTAAAACTGGCATTTATATAAAACCTAAATAAATAAAGTATTACCTAAACATCTGTAAATACATTATCAATAGGAACAATTTTTTTTTTCAGTGGCAATGTCGTCATCGAAACCAAGTTCTTTGACGGTGACCTGCTGATCACCACCTCTCGTGTCAGGCTCTTCTACATCTAAGCAGACGATGGTCCACAATACACTCAATGCATTTCCTAGTCATTTATTTTATTAGATTTTCGAACGTGGACAAGTCAATGTATCGGTGTTGTGATAAATTGATTTAAATGTTAACAAACTAAACTAAAACGTATTTGGCCTAATTAGTAAAAGTACTAAAGTATACTATGTCAAATTAAATTACACTCAGAGTGTATTTTCCATGGATTATTTTTATATCACACACAATGTCCCAAACTTGCTGCTCAAATATTGTTAACATTCCTATCAATTCTTATATAAATGTATTATGTTGTTAGATGCACAAAGTGATTTTAAATTAATTTACTTGTGAAGATTTCTGTAGTTTTATCCACCATATACAGGGTGTCTCAAAAAGTAGTGTCAAGCCGAAGCCCAGACGTAGAGCATCACTAGGGCTTAGCAAATCACCTTGTCTTTGATAGTTTACATTTTTGTTATGAATGTAAATACTTCTGAATCATCGAGGCCTAGTATTCATCATCATTCAAAAAAATTAGGCATGTAACTTGACTATTCGCGCCCCAGTTACCAAAAAAGTGCCTAAAACTATCAAAAATCGCGGAACATACATGGGGGTGATTTGGATAGCCCTAGTGATGCTCTACCTCTGGGCTTCGGCTTGACACTACTTTTTGGGACACTCTGTATATTTAGAAATCTGTTCTGTCGTAAAAAAGCACTTGCGTTTGTAATATCACGATATCTGAAACGGTTTTTGGAATGATTGAGGAAATTGATTGAGGACCGAAACAACATTAAATTAAAAGTAATTAAACATAAAAAAATATCATTACCTAATAAAATTAGGAGTAAAGATAAAAGATCTTTTATTTAGTAATGTAATTCAATGTAGGATTAATTCTGAGCTTTTAGTTTAAGTACCTAAATTAGTAATTTGTAAAAAGCAGCGTTAGTAATTCTAATAAGAAATCCTAACATTACGCTTTTGTATAAAAGCTACATACATAAGCTTTGCATATGTATAAACGGCACATTGAGGTAATAAAACTTCAGGTACGATTTTACAACTTATGAGCCTAGGTGCAGACGGCAAACTTTTTGTCGGCCGATAGTTTATTCGGGCAGTTAATCGGTATGGGCATGTATGGAAGTGCGCACATCCGATTCGGTATCGTCCGATTCTTCATTCAAATAAGAAACGGGCCCAACTATCGGCCAACTAAAAATCGGTGGTCTGCGCCTAGGCTAAACGTACACTGTTGTGCGCTGTACTATAATGTACATTATCGTAAATTATAACGCGCAAGTGACCTTATTGGATAGATAATAAAGAGGTAGTAAAAATCTGTTTCAGATATCTTCAAAATTGTATGTACGAAATGTAATTTTAATGAAAACTTTTACACTTCCTATAAATCTTATTAAATAGTTCTTCATAATATCAGACATTATTTTTTATGAAATAATTTTGATATTTTATACCTTTGTAACTCTCTGGATTTAATCTTGGTTATAATGGGCATTTTCCATATATTTTATTAGTGTATGTTATGAATCCTGTAAGTATTATTAAGTTAACTTTAAATACATTTAAGTGCTTAAAACTATTGCGTTTTATTTATAAAGAGGTCTTGAAGAAGATTAAATCTCATTTCAATGTCAGGAACTCACTCTATGTAATTAAAACCCGAATTTGACCAATAATGACCTATCAAAAATTGGAATAACATTATGAAATAATTAGGATGGCAATAAAAAAAATTAAATGGAATTTTATTAATGTATGGAGTGTACACCTAGTTCCATTTTCCTCCGTCCTTGATGACGTTTATGGCGCTGCCTTGATAGCGTTTTTTCTAAGATTTTATACTGCTCATACGTAATTTTTATACGTATTATGTAGGTACTTACGATTCCACGATTTGTATTATATGCTTGGTAATCACGTAACTAACAAACAATTTGTTTAAGTAGTTAAAAACACATTCGGCGGATTCCGCACACTTGATGTGTACCAAAAGTTTCTCCCCTTGGCTGTTAGATGGCGCTAGTAGATAAATAAATGGTGTCCATAATAAATTGTGCTTTTACTGGATGACTTTACTATGTACTGGTCGGGCAGAACTCTATGTCCTGAACTTGAACTTGAAACTGAATTTGGTATGAAATATTTCAAATGAACTGTAAGAAGTAGGCGCACACCGTTGATTTTTAGTTGGCCGATAGTTGTGCCCGATTTCAAATTGTATGAAGAATCGGCCAAATCGAATCGGCGTAGTGTGCGCACTCCCATACATGCCCATACTGATCAACAGCCCGACTAAACTATCGGCCAACGAAAAATCAACGGTGTGCGCCTACTCTAAAACAACACCTAAAAGCTTGGTCATTATTTGAAGAGGGCATCGTAGTAGGGCATTAGGTATGTATTGGACGAGAACAGTAGGTTATAGGTAGCGCCGTCTACCCGCAGCAGGAAATAAGCGAAGTGTTTTTTGCATTGTGATTTTTAATGGTATGGGCGCCTACACCAATCTTAACATGTGGGATTAAAGGCGTCAAGTGATACAGTATCACCAATCTCCATCATACTACATCTGACTACACGATTAAAACAATGCCTATTGCACGAGCTATTGGCCATAACCATAACTCGGAGCAGTCGTGACTCGATACCGTATCTCATTAGTACGCTGACACGTTTATCGATATTACCATAAAGGAAACGTGGACTGGCGGAGGCGTCACCTGCAGGAAAAGTCATGACAGGAACTTTTGTAAATTAAGACTCGGTTTATGAATGAGCGGGGCCGGAGCGCTACGCGTAACGACAATCGTGACTGTAGCGAGCCTAGATGGTTATTCGAAAAGAATTTTCACCCCTTTCTTGGAAATCTTAAGCGATCTTTTCGTCGAAATAGTCGACCATTAAGTATTTGCGTCAACATTCTCAGAAAAATAGGTAATGGAGTGTCCTACATAAAGTACCTACAGTTTGGTGTCTTATTTGGTCTGAACAAGAACTCTTCGATATCCATAAATTAAAATTATTAAAAATATTTATTCCGTAGTACAAAATGCTTAGCTACTTATAGGAGGCGACTGAGAGGAAACTTCTGGAAAGCCAAGTGAACTTATGTCGTGCTTATGTAATTAGAAGGCATCTAGCATGTTTGAGATCCGATTCTGTTATTTATTTCATTAACGGCAGATTTCTCGCAATCAATTTCTCTGTTTAGTCGCCATCGTCTGCAATGGCAAGCTCTACCATTCAGTAGTCGTCGTACTAGTAGCACATAAGTGAGTAAGTAACTAGTCAATACCAGTTTGCAAAGAAGCTCTAAATGCCTTATAACGTGCACACTTTTAACTTAACTCAGGTCGAATCTCCAAAAGTTTGGAACGAAAATATGCAACTTTAAAATAAGGTCGTGGCGTGTCTACGAACTTTAATTCACTAGATGCTACAACCAGCCAATCTGGATATCATTGGAGAAGGCCTATTTTCAGCAGTGAACGTCCAATTGCTGAAATGACTGATGATGAGGTCGGCTCTACGTTGGTACGTCTCAACGTACGCGCACCCTAACGCGGCCTAAATCATCGCTGCCGATGCTCATGCGCACATCCTCTGTAGTGAGAACTCGGATTTCTTCGTACGCCACCGGTAAGGGAAGCAGCGTTCCTTTCCATGCAAGGCACATGCCGCCTCGCATATAAATAATAGACATTATCTAATTATGTTCCGGCGAGTACTAGACGTCGACTTGTCGGGAATTGTATATCAGCCGCGGTGCCGAACAATAAATAATAATTATTACGATGACACTTCGATAAATATTGAACGTTTTTTTCGAGATACGCGGGTCGATGTTATCGGTTACCAGCTATTACATATTGTAATGGAGCGATAAGCTGTCTAATTGTATACTGGTCATGTAAGATTTAAGGTAGGCATAAATTGCTGATAACTTGCCCTCAAATGTAGAGTTTGGTGCGTTTTGAATGATTTAAGTCTGGAAGTTGGGGCTTTAACTAGGTTTTACCCACGTTTAGCTATTGAAAAGCATTTTTTACTTCTTTATTAATTAAGTGATGTTTGGGTAATCTAATAAGACTAGGTACTCGTAGACTCGTACACATCTTTAAGATGAACAGTTTTTCCAAAAAGTTTGTTCTACTTAGGTTTCAGACCTAAGTGTGCAGTTACAGATGACTTTCATGAAGTTTTCGTTTCAAATTTTGACTAGAATTCTCCTTTCTTCTGCACTCACCACAGGTGGTTTCACTAAGGTCTTACAAACAAATCTTTACTACACGACCAAGATACCTCTAACACAGCGTTGTAGCCTATGACGCCACCGAGCCGCGCGCGCCGGATGAACACCAAATGTGTGATATTTTTAGGAATGTTGATTGCCGTCTTCCTGTATCCGGCAAACGCTCTGATCTGCCGCTCCACGATACAAAACTGCTAATTAGCCACGAATAATTAATAGGTGCCTCGTTGACATGTAAACCGCTTGATCGGACTCTGATTTGGGTCATGAAACAAAAAAATATTTGTTGGTAGGCAATAAAAGTGATCGAGAGTTCTTTTTCGGTGTAGATTGTTGAAATCAACATCTAATATTATTTTAAAATAAATGCTTTTGAATCCTAGGAGATAAATAACCAAATAAGTTACACTCGAATTTAGCGTTTTACTCAAGATTGGACCATGAGATGTTTTAGAGTGGCAGAACATGTAGAGACATGGAATCATAAAATATTTAACAAGACATTTTTGCCGTTCTCTACAATATTGAAAGTACCTAAAGTAGAAAATGAAGAAAACCTTTCATTCACAGCGGGTCAAAGACACTCGCTAATAAGTTTAAATAATAAGCGTATTCCTAACAAGCAAAAGTATCTTGTCTTGATATCTAAATCGCCGAAATCTAAGTCTAACTATACTTGACCATCATTAATGATATGAAATGCCTTTGCCTTTGTACACCGAAAGCAACGCGGTGATGAAACTGGAAATTTTCTAAGCATGTATTGTTTTTATTATGTAGGTACTTATTTTCGGTTAGATCCAGTTTATTCTGTAACCTATTATTATTGATACCGTTTGATATACGAGTAGCTTGGCTCGTGAAGCACTTTCAGGATCAGTAATTAAATCACTTTTTC